AAGTAGAAACTAGAATAGTCCCTAAATCTGATTGATGCTGTTATCTATATCTTTTAAAGAATCAAAATGAAAACATAGACTACCTTGAGTTGAAAGATACTTTTAAATATAGTGTATCTTGGGCTCTCAATTTTTATTATGTTAAAATAAAATTCTTACTCATGAGTGAAACTCTTAATCAAGGGCTATGATTTTTTTTTAAGAGGTGAAAGAACATTATCTACATATATCTATATATAGATATATTAAATATTTATTTACTTGAAAGAGTCCCAGAGAGAGGGAGGGAGGGAGAGAGAAAGAGTTCTTCTATCTGCTAGTTCACTCCTTAAACATCTGCAACAGACAGAGCTGTGCTGGTCTGAAGCAGGGTGCCAGAAGCTTCTTCTGTGCTGCCCTCCCTGATGGGTCCAGGGCCGTAGGCCTCTGAGCTGTTCTCTATTGCTTTCCCAGGCCATTGTTGATATGGAAGTGGAGTGGCCAGACTTGAACTGCCACCCATATAGATTCTATTGCTGAGGAGACAGAGGATTAACCCATTCTGCCACAGTACAAGCCCCAGAACAGGGTTCATTAAAAACAACAATAACAACAAAAAACCTATTTGAATGTCAAAAAAGGAGAGACAGATACAGAATGAGTAACTCCCTGTCTGCTAATGTACCTCCCAAGTGGCAAAAATGGCCAAGATAGAGCCAGGCAAGGAGTCAGGAGCTTCTTGCTGATCTCCCATGCTGGTGGCAAGGGTCCAAGCTCTTGGGCCAGGTTCTGCTTTTCCCCTGACAATTAGTGAGGAACAGAATCGAAGTGCATCAGGCTGGACTCAAACGAATGCCCATATAGGATGCTTGATTTATATGTCGTAGCTTAACTCATTATGCCACAACCCAGTCTCAGAAATTGGATTTATTGAAAGGCAGAAGGATAGAGCACACTCAAACTTAAGCACAGGCAACCAGGAGAGAATGTGTTAACCCCTGATCTTTTTTTTTTTTTTTTTAGAATTTTTTTTTTTAAGATTTATTTTTATTGGAAAGTCAGATATACAGAAAGGAGGAGAGACAGAGAGGAAGATCATCCCTCTGTTGATTTGCTCCCCTAGTAACCACAGTGGCCGGAGTTGTGCTAATTTGAAGCAAGGAGCATGGAGCCTCTTCCAGGTCTCCTACACAGTTGCAGGGTCCCAAGGCTTTGGGCCATCCTCTACTACTTTCCCAGGCCACCATCAGGGAGCTGGATGGGAAGCAGGGCTTCCCAAATTAGAACAGGCATCCATATGGGATCCCAGTGTGTGCAAGGGGAGGACTTTAGCTACTAGGCCATGCCGCCAGGCCCTTCCAGTCTGAATTGTTACAATGCAAGTTAAATACTCATTTGGTCCTGATAACGTAGTTAAGACATTTAAAATTATTTTAGATTGATGGATTAAGTTACTTTGCTTTTTTTTTTAAGGTTTATTTCTTTTTATTGGAATGTTAGATACACAGAGAGGAGGAGAGACAGAGAGGAAGATCTTCCATCTGTTGTTTCACTCCTCAAGTGACCAAAACGGCCGGTGCTGCACCGATTCAAAGCCAGGATCCAGGAACTTCCTCCAGGTCTCCCATGCAGGTGCAGGGTCCCAAGGCTTTGGGCTGTCCTCTACACTTTACCAGACCACAAGCAGGGAGCTGGATGGGAAGTGGAGCTGCAGGGATTAGAACCAGTGACCATATGGGATCCCGGCATATAGAAAGTGAGGACTTTAGCTACGAGGCTATCACACTGGGGCCTTACTTTGGTGTTTGATCACATAATTTTGGTCTGTCTTTGGCCATATGATTACAGGAAGATTTATATGTTCTTAAATTTTTTTGTAATTCTCAGATCATTCCTTATTTTTGATTAAATGCAGTCATATGCTATATGATGATTTTTCCATCAGGAATATTTTGTGTATGTACCAGTATCCCCTTAAGGTTTTAGTGGTACCGAGAAGTTGCTGTTGCCTAGTGTTTTTACTGTCGTTTTGCTGTTTAGATGCATAAACACTGTTGTATTCCAGGTGCCTACTTGACTCAGTTCCAGTAATATTCTGTGCAGGTTAATATAGGAGTGATATGCTATATAATCTAGATGCATATAAGTACAGTCATCATCATATAGTCATGTGCTTCATAACAGTGCTTCAGTCAGTAGGGGACTGCATGCATGGCTTTGGTCCTGTAAGGTCTTAGGAGAGTTTAAAAATTCCCGTCACCTAAAAATACCATAGCTTTACCTGTGGAATCTTGTATTACTTGCATGTTTTGTGATAGGTTGGTGTAAACAAGTATGTTGTGCTACCAGTTATATTGAAATATAGTTATTTGCATGTGTGATACTTAATAACGAGTGTTACCATTTTATGTGTTTAGTCCTAATTACATATAAAAGAAGTTTAATGGGTGGCATCAAAGTATAGCAAGTTATACCCGTATCTGCTGTGTCAGTATCCCGCATAGGTACCGGTTCATGTCCCAGCCTCTCCGTTTCTGGCTTCCTGCTAACGGCCAGGGAAAAGCAATGAAATATAGTCCAAATACTTGGATTGCTATATCCTGTGTGGGAGACCCAGATGAGGCTCCTGGCTTTGGGTTGGCTTAGCCCTGGCCCATGCAGTGGCCACTAGGAGACTGAATTAGTGGCTGGAAGATCTGCTATATCTCTCACCCCCATTGCTCTTGACTTTGAAATAAATAAATTAGTATGCTGTCAGTTATGTAGAGGCCACGTGAAGTGGTTGGCCTAAACCACCTAGTTTTGTGTAGATAAATTCTGTTGTTTGCACAATGGCCATGCATTTGTCAGACCATGACTCAGTCATTGTCACTTGCCTTATTTGTTGAACAAGGTAGACAGTTACCCCCTGTCCTAATGCTGAAATAAGATGTAAAGATTTAGCTACATGTAATATTGAATCTGTCTTGAAGGACTTGGGAATTAGGTAATAGTCCCATGTGTGTGGTACTTTGATCCCAAAGTTTTTTAGAGTAAGTTTTAAATGTTTTAATTTTGTGTGATTTAACTGAGAAACACCCAATATGTGTATCCTCTGATGTGTATAGAATGTTTAAAAAGGAAAAAAAAAGTGATAGTTTATTTTTGTTCAGCTCTATTTGTGAGGTTTTTATTTATTTATTTATTTGGGCTCATATTCTGTGTTAGAATTAATTCTGCTGACTTGTTTTGTAAACTTTGAAAGATTTCATGTACTCTATTGAGTTTGAGTTTCCTGACTTCAAAGTAGGTTGACCAGATAAATGTAAGTATTCCATATCTATAGGCTTTACATCCACTGAATTATTGGTTCAAAATGTTCATTAAAGAAGAAATTGTGTCTATAATGAACATATATGAATTTTTTCTTGTAATTCCCTAGATAGTATAATACAATAACTAATATTGTTAGTAGCAATTAAGTCAAACTTAGATTTCTCAATTTGGCCAGAAAGTCTGGTGGCTTTGTGTGTTACTAGATTTTCATTTTATTTGTAGACTGTTTAGAAGCAGGTTTGTGGCCCTGGATACTTTTGAGTTGCTTTTTCTTACGAACCAGTTCCTGATTCAATTTGTGTTACATTATGGTGGAGGGAAATTGTAAACATATATCTGTTGGATGTGGTGAGGGCGCACATGGTCTGGGAGCAGGCCAAGGGTTTGCTTGGTACCTTTATTTTCCTTTAGCTTTATTTTTTAAATGGTTTCTCTAGTTGGTCTAGTTAGTGAGGGTTGTCAAATTTTCTGTTTCCAAATGCTGCATTTATGTGTGTGTACATGTACACATGCAAATACAAGTATTTAGCCCAGCAGCATCCCATATCAGGGTGCCAGGGTTCAAGCTCTGGTTATTTCATGCTTCCCATCCAGCTTCCTACTGTCCAACTGGAAGTAATGGGTGATGGCCCTAGTATGTGGATTTTTGCCACACTTGTAGGAGATATGAGTGGAGTCCCCAGCTCCTGGCTTTGACTTGCCCGCTTGCAGTTGTCTTGGACATTTGGAGAGTGAAAATCTCCTTGATCTTTCACTCTCGTTCTTGCTCTCTCACTGCCACTCCGCCTTTTAAATAAATGTTTTTTTAAATTTTGTTATGTATTGTTTTCACCATGTGTTCCAAATAAATACCATATTTTAGTCATGATTTCTGCAAACAGTTACCAACAGTGTTGGTTCAAGATCCTGGATATTTTTTCATGCAACTTCATTTTTATAGTTAATTTAGACTTATTTTGCTTAATGAATTGACAAAAGCAATAAAATTCAGGATGTGTAGTCTATTATTAAATGACTGTGGTTTATTTGTTGTTTTTGACCAATATGCTTAATCTCTTCTGTTGTTGCTATTTCTCAAATTGTACAATTTAATTTAAAATTGCTGAATAACTCATTGTCTTGTTCCAATACTGTGTAATTTTTGTCATCCCCACTACTCCAGTTTCCTTGGATATATTTGGTATACATAAAAGCAAAATTATAATACTGTAATACACTAATGTAAGACTACTGGTAAAGCAGGCTGCATGCTTTGGTCAGATAACTGAAACATGTATGTTTATCTCCATGATTCTTAGTCTTACTTGAAGATATGTATACTTCATTTTTTGACCAAGAAGTAGGGGATAGTTATAAAATGAGTGATTCATATATTTTTAAGTATCTTTAATCTAAGATTTTGTAATGATCTAGATTGCTGTGGAAGTTTTTTGTTGCAGACATTTAAAATAATAGGTGAAAAGTATTAGGAAACTTTTAATGGGTAGAAATAATTGTTGAAAATTTTTAATTGTTAAAATAATTTTGATTGTATATGAAAGATAACTTAGGCTGTTGATAAAGCTTTTCATTCATTCAACAAGTACTTACTAAGCATACTGTCTGTATAGTAGAATGGTCGATTCAAGGCTGTCTTAAGTTGTATGATTCTTAAAGTCAAATTCAACTTTGGTAATGTATAGTAACATTTCTTATTTTTATTTTAGATGCCTGGAATGATGTCTTCAGTAATGCCTGGCATGATGATGTCCCATATGTCACAGGCTTCCATGCAGCCTGCTTTACCGGTAATCTTGTGAAAAGAACTATTTTCCATAATGCATTTATGAGTGATTAATTTTATGCATGTATAGATATACAAATAAAACTATATATACATATAAACAACTACTTTATAGATGGTTAGATTAGCTTTTTTTACATTGTCTGCCTGCTGTAATGTGGATGTTACAGTGAACATTTAGTGTTGGTTGCTATCAGTTGAATGGTAGGCAGTAACTTTTTTTCTCTATTTTGGCAAGATAATTCTGTATTAAGCAATAACAGAATACTTAAAAATGTAATTTGTGAATCATAAGCATTTAATTATTCTGGTAACATTATGCTTCCTGTTCTCAATTGGCTTTGTTTTCTAAATCTAGATTATTCCATAATATAGAATAAATATTCCCATTTAACATTTAAATGTGTGGACTCATTATTGAGTGCTAATTGGAGATAGATATGATTTAATATTAGTTTAAGAAATCAGAACATTTAATTTGAAATCTGTACTTTGTAGGATTTAAGCTATGTAGGATTTAAGCTATGGCATTATAGAAACTACCCTTATTGGTTTGTTAGCAATACAGATACAAGATGATTTTTAAATTAGCTCAGTTTCTTTACTACACAGTGGCTGCAATGAGTAGGTGTAGCATACTCCATTGGAGTGATTTGTTTCTGTTGCCTTTTCTAGAACCTTTCTCTCCCTTTTTTTTTAAAATCTTTTTTTTCTTAAGATTTTGAAAAGCAGAATATGAAAGGGAGCGAGAAGGAGAGACAGAGATATCTTCCATCTGCTGGTTCACTATCCAGCAGGCTGTAATGGTCAGAGCTGGGCCAGTCTGAAGCCAGGGGCTTTTCCCCAGGTCTCTTAATATGGGTACAGGGACTCTAGCATTTAGGCCATTTTCCTCTACTTTCCCAAGACATCAATAGGAAGCAGTGTTTAAAAGCCAGGACTGGAACCAGTCTCTGGGGGATTTGATGCTGCAGGCATACGCTTAATGGACTTTGTCTCTGCGCCAACCCCTATATAGCTCTTAAATTAACATACGTTTCGAAATTCTAATATGAGAAAGTAGTATGTTGCCTGTGGGATGTTGGGCAGTGTCTTGTCATTTCTAACTTCATGATAAAATTCATTGTTATTTATAGCAAACTCAGGCAGTGAGATCACTACAACTTTCGCTAAGAATCTTTTTGAGTTAATGACTTGAAAATTATACATAGAGAAACTTATTTATGAGAAATGTGTTTAAAATGTACTTTAAACAAAGATGAATATTACTAATTATATTTTTCTTCTTACAGCCAGGAGTAAATAGTATGGATGTAGCAGCAGGTATGTATACATGAGTGGTGCTGTATACCAGGGTACTTAAGTTCTTGAAAAATGAAATTAAAGGTTAGGTTTATTTTGAATCAAAAATATTTTGAAATCCATGCATATAGGAGGCTTCAAAAGTTCATAGGAAAATGTATATTGGGAATAAACTGCGGGGAATCCAAAATAAACATCTCCCCCACCCTATTTTCTAATAGCTTTTTTGTTTTTAAGAGCTCTGTACCAACTTGATGTACAGATAGACTTGTCATCAGTGTTTTTAAATTTCATAATCATTGCTGCCATTTAAGGTCTAAGTTTTACATGATTGAATATCTGAAATTTTATCTTGAGTATTCAGTGCTTAGAAATTGTCCTGTTAACACAGCTATTTAGAATATTTGTTGAATTATTGAATTCTGTGGAGTCCATATTTGTGTGAGGGGTGTTTGTGATTTGTTACTTTAAAAGGTAGAGCATTAAAGAGAAAGAAATTTTCCATCTGGTGATTTATTCCTAAATGGCTGCCACAGCCACAGCTGGGCCAGGCAAAGTTAGGAGTTGACAACTACGTCTAGATCTCCCACGTGAGGCACAGAAGCCCCAGTGCTTGGGCCATCATCCAATACCCTTCCAGGTTAATTAGCAGAAACAGCAGTGTTTTGATACTGTATGGCTTTAAGTCATGAGTGGCTTGCTGCAGTGCCCCAGACCATATTTTTACTCAGCAAACGGTAGCATAGGGTAGTAACTCCGTATGTGTTAGATGTACCACCAATGTATACTAGTCAGATAGTCTTCTGAATTGTACAGTCTGTTATTCCTTGTCATTTGTAGTCACTGGACCTGTGCACAAACCTTGTTCAAAATTTTTTGCTTTTACCAGTATTTTGCTATTTTGACCCATAAGTTTGAATATAATAAAAGCACTTCAATTATCCATTAGTAATTTCAACATATATTAATATTCCAGATCTTGACCATTAGCGTGATTATACCCAAACGGTATAACTGAAATGTTTACTATAAATATATTGTGTTTTTCATTAACTTTATGTGGGATATAACCTCTCTTTAAAGCAACTTTGCAAATTTCATTGTTTGTTTAAATGAAAATAATATTTGGCAATGCGTAACAGCTTTCTTGTTTTTAATTTAGATATCTAGACCTGAGTTACTCCCAAATAACTTTGGAGATTACCTTGAGATTTCTTTTTAATTACTTTTAAAATGCTGTGGCTTTACAGTTGGTGTTCATAGTGGCTTGCTTGGAGTGCTGTTAGTGTATATGGAATTTGCTACTGCTTTTCTTTTATAATCTTTGTTTTTCATATATATTTTTAATTTAAGCTTCTAAAGTTAGAGATTATTTGTGAGCTTTGGGTGAATAACACATTTCAAAATCCGTGTCTTATAGTATAGGATTGTACCACCTAATACAATTTTCTCTAGTAATGAAAATGTTCTGTGATCTATGTTGTTACATATAGTTACCATTAGCCTTGTGTGCTTACTGAGTGTTTCAAATGTGGCTAGTATAGCTTAAGATATTCAAATTTATTTAGTCTTAATTTAAATTTTAGTTTAAGCAATAAATGTGAATACTAATGGTTGTTTCTTGTATAGAACATTGTTCCAGATATCTGACACATAGAATTAGAAATTGGAGAAATTATATTATGATAACATTCAAAGCCAAGAAAGAGGAATAGAATAAAATAGATAATTTATAATAGCAAAAAGAGCAAAATACAGGAAAAATACTATTCAGACTGGCTCTAAAGTCAGATTAAATTAAATAATGGAAGCTCAAATTCTGAAAGTGCTTTACACTATATATTTCATGAGAAAAACACACACTTAGGGCTAATGTGACGATTTCAGGTTCTTTGATTAAGTATGAAACAGTAATAAATAGTATAACTATTAAGATAAAGAGGACAGCATGATTTATCACAGTATAAATATTTTGCCTTTTTTTTTTGTTAGGTGCAACATCTGGCGCAGTAAGTACTCTTTAAACTTCTGCTAATACCTTTATTTATTATCTATTAACCTATTTCATTGAAACCTATATCTGTTTAAAGATTATGTGCCAAGTTAATTATTCCATATGTCAGCCTTAAGTTTTCTTTGCCAGGATTGCAATCTGTCTTTGGTACTTTTCAAAGTGTCTCAGCACATTGCATATTGCTGTAACAAATAACTTAGGTGAGCTGCTTTATAAATGAACAAGGGCTTTATTTAACCAACAGTTTTGGAGGCTGAAAGGCTGTGAAGCTGTTTTCATCTTTTCAACCTCTAGTGAGAGCCTTCTGTGTACTTGACAATATGCTAGATGGAATCACATACAGGAAGAATATGTAAGAACAGAGGGTGATGGATGACGAAGCACTCACATGGCAGCAAGACTACGAGCAATAGAACAAACTAAGGAAGCTAAAACTTGCTTTCTGGTAGTGTGTTTTTATGATAACCAATCCAGTTCCATGAGTGAAAATTCACTACCTGGAGAAAAGCACTAATTCTTCTTAATTACCTACTTTTCCATCTCTTAATTGAATCCTTCCCAATACTACCACATTAAGAATCAGATCTCTGTTTGAAATTTGCTGGGAAGAAACTATATTAAAATCAAAGCAGATAAACCTATTCATATTAACTTTTGGATCTCGGTTTTTCTTGTAATTACAAGGGAAGTAGAACTCTTAAAATACATAATTGTAATTATTAGGTACTCTTTTTTTTTTTTTAATAATGGAAAAATGAAATTATCCTTATTTTTACTACAAACCTGATATAAACTTTCTCCAGTACAGTTGTTGCTGGATATTTTGCTGATTGGTGCTAGGACTTTCAGCAAATAATATGTACATATATCCTCCCATTTACTTTGCCATCTCTAGATTAGTTATTATAACTGAAGGAAATGCTACATAACATTTTTACATTACGTTACTTAGAGAATGTGAAGAAAATAAGTTCATGTGTACTACAGACCAAGTTGTTTCTAAAGCTAATAGTTTTGTTCTTTCGCTAATGATTCTGTAAATGGCACTTTGTTAAGCTTTTTTATCATGCTCCATATTTTGGGAAATAGTATTAGTCCCCAGACAGAGACACCATTTATTGATGGCTCTTTACTGTTTCTTGCCATTCTGTAAAGATCAAAGAAGAGTTAATGTGTATAATCTTATTTAGAGGTAATAGACCAGAGAGCTACTAAATCCCACTGTTAGCTTGAAAAGATGGAGAAAATGGCCTTGTGATGGAGTAAGCTAAACCACTGGCTGCAGCACCAACATCTCATATCCATATTAGAGCAGCCAGCTTAATTAAGACCAGGCTACTCCTGTTCCCATCCAATTCCTTTCTGATGTGCTTGGGAAAGCAGTGAAAAGTGTTGCGAAACCTGGACCTCTGGATAGTCCTGGCTTTGTCCTGGCCCAGTTGTGGTCATTGCAGCCCTTTTGGGAATGAACCAGAAGATGCATGGTATCCCTGTTTCTTTTTCATCTGCTCCCTCCCTATCTATCCTTTCACCTTGTCTCTCCTCATAACTGTGTGACAAACAAGTCTTAAAAAAAAAAAACAAAAAGGCTTTGATTAATTATCAGCTGTGCTTCTTGGAAAAGTAATTTTTTAATTGGTAAGCTTATTTATAATATTCTTAGGATGTCTTTTGCTTTAAAAGTTGAATGGCAAAATATTCTGCTAATCTTCCAATGTACTTTATTTTTGAAAAAAAAAGCTTGGATTGATTGGTGTGAAAATAAAGCAAATGTAAGTTAAGGAAAGCACAATTCATTGTGAATAGTATTTAAATATAAATTGGGTATGTTTGTGTATAAGTCTTGAATGCTAGATTCATATTACCTGTGCTTTTGAAATAAAGGTTTTTAAAATTCTTTTTTAAGACAGAGCAGCAAAGGGAGAGAAATCTTCCCACTAGTTCACCTGTTGTATTGCTGCCACTGCTGGAGCTGGTTCAGAACAAAGCAAAAGCCAGGAATACCATGCAGGTCTCCCATACGTGTGTCAGAACCCTAGTATATGGACCTTTTCCACTGCGTCCCCATGCACAGAGAGCTCATCTGTATATAGAGCAGCTAAGACTTGAGGCAGTGCTCCGATGTGGTGTGGATGTTGGTGTCTTAAGTGGAGCTTAACTTGAGGTGCAGGAATAAAATTAGTTGCAGAAAATAGGTAGGTTCCCATATCAAGTGTACTTCAGAAAGCTATGGGAAAATAGCATAAAAATACTCATTTGGGTATAAAAAAAATTCCAGAGATCCCTAACTAGTATTTTACAGTGTGCAAGAAAAAGAGGTTTTACAGGTTTCCTTGGATGCATGGATCTCAAAAATTTTGGTTCCAAAACTAACTTCTCTGTCAATTCAGTTTTTCTGAAAACTTTGGAAATATCGTATGTGAACGTTTAAATGAGTTCATTAAGTATTTGATGGTGCTGGAGAATTGCTATTTTTTTCTTGGGATTCTAAATTTCAGGGATAGAAAGCATTTAGGCATCTTATGTTTCAGGGAGAAGATACGCAGTGTATATTTCTGATAACAGTACAGTCGTACCATACCTTTTTCTACAAAAATCTATAGCAGCAAATGTATGAACCATTTTATTTTTGGTCAGTGGACATAGATTTAAACTAACTTCTTATTGGACTCCTAAGGGAGACTAACATTTTGTGTGCTCTTTGGGTTTATTCTCTGGTAATCCTAGTTCTTTCCTAATTTTTTTTGTCATTGATTTGACATTGAGTCCTTCAAATGTATTAACCCTTTATTAGTCCTGAGTTTCAAATATTTTTCCTGGTCTATCATCTGTTGACTTCACTTATTAAATTCTCATATATTATCATATATTTTATTTGTCTCATTTATGTCTGTTTATTTATGATTGAATATTTTGCTTTTGCACTTACATTGACCTTAATGTTTATTTGATAAAATAAGCTTTCAGTTTTCATTCTCTTTGTTATTTTCAGGTGTTAGCATATTCTTTTTTCTAAAGTTCTCTAAAAGAGAAATCTATAAATACATATACTGACACAATAAAAATGAATGGTGCTCAACACAGTAAATATTGTTTATTCTTTCTTAATCTGTTATCTTTAAGTCTTCTATTGATGGTCATACTCATAGTACTACATATTATTACATAGCATTCATTTATATGATTTATTTGAAAAGCAGAGTGCCAGGGGAGGGTGAGAGATTTTTTTCCATCTATGGATTCACTTAACCCATTGGCAACTGTTTCAAGGGCTGGAGCGGGCAGAAGACAGGCACCAACAGCTGGATGTCCCCGATGTGTGAGTGTCAGGGACTCTAGAGTACTTGAGCTATTGTCTTCCCAAGTGCCTTATCAAGGACCTGGCTTTGAAGCAGAGTGCCTGGTCACTGGACATGGCAAGTGGTGGCTTAACTCCCTTACCACAATACCTACCTCACGATGGTTTTTAATGCTTATTGTACAAATGTGCATCCAGTTTGTCTCTATATTGAAAAGTTAATTTTTTCCTCAACAACCATTTTATTTTATTAGTACAATAACTGTGATGGTAGTAAATTGGAAACTGGTATTTGAAAAAGTGTAGAATTATTACAGAAACTAATTTCATGAAATCTTAACTTCTCTAAAGCTACAAAAGTTAAAATATTTTCCCAGATTTTTAGTATTTGAGAAATAGTATCATTTTTTGTCCAATAGAATATGCTAGAACCAAGTAAAGTGACTGTGGTAAGGAAATCAGAAAAAGTGACTCACGTGTTTTCAGCCATATCCAAAGCAGAAATCAGAAGTCCATCAGCTTTTAGTGGAAGTTGTTAAGAAAAAGAGCATGTAATTCTGCTTGAAATAAATGCAAACCAGTGCTTTTCACTTATTTCAGAATTTTTTTTTTAAAGAAATACTATAAAAGACTATTCTCCAAAGAAGTTTTAGGAGTGTGTTAGCTTTTACTTGCCTTCATTTCTTTTTGTCTAAGCACAGACTGCTTCTTGATGTGTGTATTGTCTAAGTAAATGAATTTTCAAATAATTGCAGAGTAAAATATGAGGGTAGGACAGCTTGGACAGTTTGGGATTTTGCTTTTTTTTGAAAAATATTATTTATTTATTCATTGGAAAGTCAGGTATACAGAGAGAAGGAAAGGCAGAGTAAGATCTTTCTTCCGTTGATTTATTCCCCAAGTGGCTGCAATGACCAAAGCTGAGCAGATCAGGAGCCGGGGTCCAGGGTCACAAGGTTTTGGGCCATCTTCAACTGCTTTCCCAGGCCACATGCAGGGAGCTGGAGGAGAATTTGGGCCATTAGGATTAGAACCACTGCCCATATGGAATCCCAGTGCACACAATGCGAGGGCTTGAGCTGCTAGGTTACTGTGCTGAGCTTTTGTTTGAGATGTGTAATACTCTTATTAGATTTTTTTTAAAATGCAGTGTCTATAGTCTTTATAACCCTTCAAGCAAAGTTTGTCACAACCTGATAAATCTGGTTGCCAGAATAATCAGCTGTATTTGGTAGCATTCACTTAATCCTGATAACTTGATAAATTTAGCAGCAACCTTGACTTGAGCCATCATGTTATTGAATACTAAAAATTTTATTAATAGATTTTAGTACAGGTGCTACTAGTTCTTTTGGAACCTTGGCAAAACTTAGATTTACAATATTTCAAGCTAATTTCACATAAAACTTTATCTCACCTCTGTTGATTTGCGTTATCTGTAGTTCTGTTTTTCTTTGCTTTCCAGTTTAATTTGTTGACAGTTCAATTCTGATTGTAATGCAAAAGCCATTTGTTCTGAGAGTTACTACTTGCTAGCATCACAATTTAAAACTAATACGACACTCATTGAATTAGGAGTATGATCAGTTCACCTATATTATATTAGCAGCTAATTCGTTCATGTTGTATCCACTAAGTGTAGATTTATATTGTTGGAATAATGTGTTGTGTATCCAAGTTACAAAGCGTTGTTAGGAGTGCAGTCATGTCTTTGCAATTCCAGGAGAGAAGAAACCATGCTGCCCTTGAAATGTTTTAAACATTCCTTGTTTTTCAGTTTTCTCCTGGCATGCATTGATAAATTATTCTAAATGTCTTATGCTAAGAAATACTTCACATATGTTTATTGTTAAAAGTAACGATACTGATATTTACTATAGGTGAAATTGTTGCATAACTTAATTTTTTTGTATTTTTTCTGCAGAAATCAATGTGGACTGAACATAAATCACCTGATGGAAGGACTTACTACTATAATACTGAAACAAAACAGTCTACCTGGGAGAAACCAGATGATCTTAAGACACCTGCTGAGGTACAGTTTCAGAGGTGGAAAAAGGGGACTGTTATAGACCATGGCATATCTTTTTGGATTTTGTATTTAACTATTTAAATACTATTCCTGCTTGTATACTAGAACAAGGTTAGTACCAAAACTCCCTTCTCCAAACAAATAAATTTTTTCCTGAATAATTTTATTTATTGACTTTATTGCAGAAAGGTAGAAATAAGACTTATTGCATTTCCTGGACTATTTTTTTAAAATTCATATTTTCAGTTGCTTTCTTAGCAAAATGAAGCCTTAAAATTTCCAAAGGAGTTGGGAATAATGGTAATGAAATTTTAATTACAAACACTTCCTTCTTTTAGAATGGGAAGTTGTCTCTGCTGAAATTGATCTTGAAAAAAAGAGATATTATTTTCTATTATAAATTTTAAATCTCCCTGTTCTGATTTTATAGTCAGTATTGGTTCTCGTTACATATGCTTATATTGTCCAAAATAACTGTCAGGATTCAAGTTTTCAATATCTTTATAATATCATCCTAATACTTTGATAAGAATACTTCAAAAACTCCAAAACTGGAATTCAAATATTTGATGCAATATTTCAACACTCATACATATCTGTTTCATGATGTTGTGGGTTTTGTTTTTAAGATGTGTTTATTTACTTAACAGAATTGACAAAAGCACAGATGCTTGGCCATCTTCCCATTGCTTTGCCTAGGCCATTAGCAAGGAGCTAGATGAGAACCAGAATCCTATATGGGATGCTGGAATTGCTGCTATGGTTTTGCCATTATATCACAACACTGCTCCCCCACCCCCATTGAAACTTTCAAGGACCCTTGCTGTGCATGGCTTTCAAAATTTTTGAACCAAAATAAAGTTTTTTTTGAATTCCAGTTTCAGTGGACTTTTTGAGAAACACTTGAGTTAGGTATATCATACCTACATTGTTTTTTAATGTAAGAAAGCTTGAATACAATTGTAACAAAGTATCCTGGAACATATCTAAGCAGACTATTCAGATATTGCTGTTGCTTAAATTTTGGTTTCCTATTCCTACCTGTGTTAATATTTGGAATGTTATGTTAAAAACAGAATAGAAATTTTTCCCTGCGTTGGGTAAGTGCTAAGCCCGTATGGATTTGACATTGGTTTGTTACCTTAAATAAATTACCTTTTTACCAGTAACCTTCAAGTTTTAGAATTACATAGATAATATCTAGTAAAATGAATCATTGGTGATGCTAAATCCACCAGTTAACTAAAAGTTTTTTCTCTATAGCAACTATTATCTAAATGCCCCTGGAAGGAATACAAATCTGATTCTGGAAAGCCTTACTATTACAATTCTCAAACAAAGGAATCCCGCTGGGCCAAACCCAAAGAACTTGAGGATCTTGAAGGTAAAAATAGGAGAAAATAATGATTGGTATAAATTTTTTATTTTGATGTGTCAATCATTTTGATACAATCCTTTCTGAATAGGATTGTTCAAAAGTCTTTCTTTTTTTAATTAACTGATTAGAACATTTTAAATGGTATAATAGTTTTATGGGCTCTTTTAACTTGTTGCTCTAGATCTCAGTTCTATAGATTTTAAATAGATTTTTATTTGATTTGATTCCACTGAAACTAGGATACCAGAATACCATTGTTGCTGGAGGTCTTATTACAAAATCAAACCTGCATGGTGAGCTGCTTTGATAATTCATTTTCTGTCATATTTAACATTTTTAGAGTATGTCACTAATATTCACTAACTGATTTGATGAATTTGCAGTGAAAAAAATCTCTAGGTTCAGGAATTAATTTCACTCAAGGGTTATATTATAAATGAGCTTGTGACTCTTAAAGTACACTTTGATTTTTGTCAATTAAAACTATTTCATCATTGGATACTTAGACAAGAGCTTCGCTTAGAAAATTTGTAATTCCTTAAAAATATTGGTAATTCTTAGCAGGAATTAATAATTTAGTTCTTTATGATTTTAATTGTACCAACCTATACATATTAGAAGCAACAGATTATAAGAAGATAGAAATAAGTAGGCAGTACTATGGAATGGCATGTAGCAAGAAAGAATGAAATTTCATGAAAAACCTTGCTCTGTTACCTCGTGATGTTAGATGACTATATCAGAAAAAATATATTTATAACCTTGAATGTGAACTTTTTAAGATTTATTGGTTTTGGGTCCGGCATAGTGGCCTAGCGGCTAAAGTCCTTCCCTTGAATTCCTTGGGATCCCATATGGTCACTGGTTCTAATCCCTGCAGCTCCACTTCCCATCCAGCTCCCTGCTTGTGGCCTTGAAAAGCAGTCGAAGATGGCCCAAAGCCTTGGGACCCTGCACCTGCATGGGAGACCTGGAGGAAGTTCCTGGATCCTGGCTTTGGATCAGTGCAGCACCAGCTGTTGTGGTCACTTGAGGAGTGAAACCACAGATGGAAGATCTTCTTCTCTGTCTCTCCTCCTCTCTGTCCATCTAACTTTGAAATAAAAATAAGTGAATATTTTTTAAAAGATTTATTGGTTTTTATTTGGAAGATTTTTACAAAGAGTTATGGAGAGATAGAGACAGAGGTCTTCCATCTGCTGGTTCAGTCCAGATGCCTAAAAGGCAGAGCTGAGGTAATTGGAAGCTGGGAGCCAGTAATTTCTTCCTGGCCTCCCAATGTGATTGCAGGGACTCAGAGACTTGGGTTATCCTTTGCTGCTTTTCTAGGCCATAAGTAGAGAGCTGAATTGGAAGTGGGGCAGCTGGTACAATAACCAGCACCCACGTGGCACATGCAATGCCTGGACTTTCACACAAAGGATTAGTTTTCTCAGTCACCATGGCAGCCCCGTAACCCATCCTCAACTGATTTAGATACTTTTATAATGCAATATGTTCTTAAAATATTTTCAAGTTAAGCTATGTCATCACCTGGTAGTGCTTATTAATAAAAGATACCATTTGTTAGGAACATTTATATAATCCAAATGGAAAAGTGAAGTCTTGGCTGCTGATCTTTAGAACTAAATTTAAGTTATACTAGCATTGTCTTTTAAGAGTTTAGATAAGTGGTGTTATGGTTTATTCATTTACAGAATATCAAGCTCATATCTGATGTAACCCTATTAAAAATAGTATATATATCTACAGACCTGTGTTTGTCAGTGCTAGTATGTATGTACTGAAATTTCTTAACAGTTTGTCTCTTTTTGAATTTGGTATATTAAGAAAATTCCAAATAATCTCATCCATAGGGACAATATTTTGTTTCGTAATTATATAGATTTTCAGGGAGTTGTTGTGGTAGCCAGCAGCCTTTGAGAAAATATAGCATGAGATAAGCTTTTCTAATAACTTCTTATTTAAGCTTGCTATTCTTTAAATTCATGCCTTGCAACTTTGGAGCAAGTAATTGCTCTATTAAGCTGATTTTAAATTTTATTTTGGATGTTAAATGAAATCCTTTGATAGTTTTCTCTATCTCCTTTTAATACTTGTTTTCAAGAAGTGCTTATTTTCATTTACTATGTTTAAAACCTGGTAGGTAACTTTTCTTTTTTCTTTAATAGCAATGATCAAAGCTGAAGAAAGCAGGTAAGCAATTTGAATATCAACATATTTGTTTTGATCTTTTATAACACCTTTTCATTTTTGCTAGCAACCTTTTTTAAAATGCAAATATTATTTAATGTGTTAGGTCTGATGACTTCATGTCTTCAGATAATTTTAATTTTGGGGGAATATTATTTACTGAGGTTGATGCTTTGCTAAACAATGATTAGTTACTTAGGTCTGTAGAAGATTTATTGTAAAATCCAGAATCTTGTTTCAGTTCGTTTGAGAGTGGATGAAATATTATGTCTGTATGTTTCTTTGATTTAAAATGCTTTTCTTTGAGTTGAGGAAGTAGTGAAAATTTATAAGTTCTTGGAAATAGGATATTTGTGTGGTTTTGTGATATACTTTGTATCAAAAGCATTTTGTAAGTGAGAATAATTCAGATTTTGGAGCGACTATTACATGAATGCCTGTTATATTTTGGCATGAATACTGAGTTAAAGCAAAGCAATTAAACTTTATTCTATACTATTAACCTTTTATAAATCATTTTCTAGTTAGGAATCATTGAATGTTATTCCCTTCTCATTTAAAGCCTAGCTTCAGGTTTGTGTTAATTGTAAAGAATAACCAGTGTTTCTGCTTTGTTTTTTGGTTTTTATGTGTAGTAAGCAAGAAGAGTGCACCACAACATCAGCAGCCCCGGTTCCTACAACAGAAATTCCAACTACAATGAGTACCATGGCTGCTGCAGAAGCAGCAGCTGCTGTTGTTGCTGCAGCAGCCGCAGCAGCAGCAGCTGCTGCAGCAGCCAATGCCAATTCTTCCACTTCTACTTCTAATACTGTGGGTGGAACTGTTCCAGCTGTTCCTGAGCCTGAAGTTACTTCCATTGTTGCTACTGTTGTAGATAATGAAAGTACTGTAACCATTTCAACTGAGGAACAAGCACAACTTGCTAGTACCCCTGCTGTTCAGGATCAGAGTGTTGAAGTATCCAGTAATACTGGAGAAGAAACATCTAAGCAGGAAACTGTAGCTGAGTAAGTTTAGTAAATTGTCTTCTGAAAATCTGTGTTAGAAATAATACAAGAAATTGTCACTGAATCCAGGATTGTCCATTGAGACTTTAATATATTTTGAAAAGCAAAAATTTTAGAACTTCTAAATATGATCAGTTTGGGGACTGATCATTCTTTGCTTCTTTGAGTTTTTCAAGGTAGATTGGTCATCAAAATGTTAGAAAATAAATGCATTACATTTTTAAGGAAATTGGTGAGGATATTGTGAGGCACATTTTATATCTAGTACAATGTAAATGGTATGGGAGCTTTTTGTTACACTGTACTTTTTAGAGACTAATAAGAAAAACATGTCTTTAGTACTGATGGAATTTGGCTTTTCTTTCACATATTTTTGACACACTGTTGGTTGACTCTACAGAATGCAGAGTGCCAGCTCTAATTTGTTTTTCTTAATTTTAAGAATTAATACCAATATCCTATTGGCTTTTTTTCTGTCTAGCATTTCTTGATTATAGCCTGTAATAGTGAGCTTTTGATTTTAATTAAATTTACATAGGCCATTTGTAGCTATTAGTTTTTTGCTGACCTGCTTAGAGTGTTTTTAACAACTTAAAATAGATCCCAAATAAATTTACTAGATTTAGAGTGGTAGTCTAGATTTTGTTAGTATCTGCGCCAATATTTCTTCCCCGTCTTCGATTCTCTTAGGAGAGCTTGTAACTATTCTGTTTGAGCAATTTTAGGACTGTTTTCTTCCTTCCCCTTGTTTATATAGGGCTATATGTAAAGCATATATAAAATTTTCACTGCAGAATGATATCCAAGCCAAAATAGTTGATAGTTCTTTATTGTGTTAGTTTAATTTTTGGCAAACTTTGGTTTTAACAAAAAAGGTTAGTTTTTTTTTCTTGGTTGGTTTGTTTGTTTTGTGTTTGTAAAAAAAAGAATTACCAAAAATTAATTTTAAAAAATAATTTTGGTTTTGTGTATGTTTAATTGACAGCTCTGCTGTGGTCTCACAAATCAATCATAAATTGTATTCACACACACACAGAGGCTATGTTTATCTTCACTTATCTACACCAAGAGCAGGTTGGATTTATACATTGTAGTTTTCGACTGGTTTAGAAAATCTGCACCTTTTTATATTTATTCAGACTTGTTCAAATACTCAGTTATTAATATACTTTTCCTAAAACACTCAGGCATTTAGTAGTATTAAGCTTTGAGATAGCACTTAAAGGCATTTATTTTTCTAGGTGAAGCAAATATTTGTTTTAAGTTGTCAATGTCATGTTTACATTTCTCTAGTTTTACTCCCAAAAAAGAAGAGGATGAAAATCAACCAGCAAAAAAAACATATACTTGGAACACAAAAGAGGAGGCAAAGCAAGCATTTAAAGAATTATTGAAAGAAAAGGTATTTGTATTACAGATTTTTGTATGCACTGTATCAGCTGCCTAATCCAAACCTTGAGACGTTTTTTTGACAGCACTGATCTCATGTACTAATTTTATTGGAAATCAACAAAATTGTCCTTTTTTTTTTTTTTTGGAAGATCACTTTTGTGAACTTTTGAACAAACTGTGTACCAGATACTACACGAGGACATTTCTACTTCAATATTTACAAAAGGGTTTTTTTTTTTATTAATAATTGCTTACCTTTTGCTAAATATTTTAAAGAAAAAATTAACTTTCTGTTTAAGTTCATTTCATTTGATAGGTAGTTAACAGAGATTTCTCATCAGTAAAACACTATTTTACAACTTTTCAAACTTATACCAAGGAAAGTGCTTGATGTTTTCAGTGAGTATTATAGTTGGCTTCCTGATAATATGAGTTATTATGCTAGTGTGAAATTGTAATTCTCTATTTAAATGGTTTTCAGCGGGTACCATCAAATGCTTCCTGGGAACAAGCTATGAAAATGATCATTAATGATCCACGATACAGGTAATATTTCTGTGTTTTACATACTTTTCACATAGCAAGCCTTGTACATTTTGTATTGTGGAGAATTATATGGCTTTTAACTGCTATTGACGCCCATTGTTTTAGATATCAAGAATAGTTATTTGTATGAATATAGACCAAAAAAAAAAAACCTAAAAGGCTCAGCATAAAATTTGAGAATCCTGCTTTACATTAAATTATTTAGTTTAATACTGGGAATCGCTTAATAAATTTCTATAATGTCCATTTGTACCTGAGGAAAACCATATTACATTTTATTCTCTTCATTTCATGTTCTGTTTTTGTCTTTAGTGCTTTGGCAAAATTGAGTGAAAAAAAGCAGGCGTTTAATGCCTATAAAGTCCAGACAGAAAAAGAGGAAAAAGAAGAAGCAAGATCAAAATACAAAGAGGCTAAGGAGTCCTTTCAGCGTTTCCTTGAAAATCATGATAAAATGACTTCTACAACCAGATACAAGTAAGCTTTTTAGTGATAGATGGCTCGTGTATGCATTATTTGTGTCATCCTTTTTTGCCAGCTGTTGTAAGTGATCTTAGACCAATGCTGAATTGTAAATGTAATAATTTGATAAAGAACAGGATGAACCATTGTTTACATGGAATTTAACTTGGACTTAGTAAATTGCTTTTAGAGTAGAAAGCATTTTGTTTTAATTTAACTGAAAATTGAGATCGTTTTTGATTGGTTGTTGTTATTTAGCGTATAGTTAACATTTGATTTTTTTGATAATAGGAAAGCAGAGCAAATGTTTGGAGAGATGGAAGTCTGGAATGCAATATCAGAACGTGACCGTCTTGAAATTTATGAAGATGTTCTGTTTTTTCTTTCAAAGAAGGAAAAGGTATTTTTTATTGCTATTTCTGGTTTCATAGACAAGGCATTTATTCTTCCTAATAAAGAGTTATACCATGTCCCATTTTATTGCCTAGTTCATCCAGTTTGTGTGGTGTGGAAATTTTATTTTTTTATTAGAAGCTGAGATTAAAAATTAAGTGGATAGCCATTATAATGTCATCCCTTCCTAGCACAAATAATGATAACATCACAGCACTGATTTATTTGACTATTACTTACATTGTCGTTTATTAGCTCTATAATGCCCTTATTGGAAAATGTGCTACTTTTTTTTAGATAATTGGACTTAAAACTACTTTGCTTATAATATATTTGATTCTGATGTAAAAATCAAGTACTGTACTATTGTTTCTGCTAAAGTGAACTTGTATGATAGTGTTTTAAAGTACCTTTTTTACCATACCTGTTTTGTAAAGTACTGTTAGAATTAGTATTTTCTAGTGTGCAAGGAACACATATATTTGTAAGCTTAACAAAAATTTAAACACAGGCACATGTCTGGCCCTGCAGTAAGACACTGTTGGGGCAGCTACATTACACTTAGAAAGTAACAGGGAGCACTTTGAGCTGTTGACTTCAGCTTCTGTTAGTGCTCACACTGAGAGGTAGTGCTAATGGATAATCAGGTTCCCAGCTTGTGTTTTTGGCATAGCCTAACCATTGCCAATATTTGGGGACTGAACTGGTGGATGGGAACTCTGTATTTTCTGTGTGTCAGATTTAACATAGGCAGAAGCTGTTGACACATTGAAGGGGCCTTGGTTAGCATTTAGTTACTGGGTGACATGCCTACATTTGCTTCAATTATGGGCTCTTTCTGTGATATTGTAAATGTTCTTGTAAGAAAAGTTTATGGAGTGGAGCGTTAGGGAAAAAATAGTAATCCTTTCTGGATTCTGTGGGTAGAAAATAGGTGAACAAATTAAGGGCAAATACATAACCAAGCACTTGGGCAAGAGCAGTAGCAAAGTATGTAGTGTGTTTGTAATTTAATGTCTTAGTTTCTTTGAATATCAAGAGGTATATTCCTAATTTTTTTTTTAAAGGAACAAGCAAAGCAGTTACGAAAGAGGAACTGGGAAGCCTTAAAAAATATACTTGACAACATGGCTAATGTAACATACTCTACAACTTGGTCTGAAGCCCAGCAGTATTTGATGGATAATCCAACATTTGCAGAAGATGAGGAGTTACAGAGTATGTCATCTCAAAAAGAGAGAAGTAGTTTTTAAGCACTGTCCTCTGACATAGAAGTATTGTCACATTTTTATGGATATTTTAAAGTAAATTTTAGAGTTGTTTGTCAATTTCTGAAAAAGTTTTCTGTTGATTTCCAAATGAAATATTTCTTTATAGTTGAGTTTTGTGATTCAGCACAAAATATCCTTAGAGAAATCCAAGTTAGCTTTATCAGCTAATTCTGGGGGCATATAAATCATGTCATACTTTGAATTTTGCTTAGCCAGTTATATGTTGTGTTAAGTGGGTAAGAACCAACTTGCACTTTTCACCTTTAGTGTCTTCTTGAGATAGTAACTTTGATTCAGATTTTGGCAAAAATTATGCTAGAATTATTTGACATTAGGCTTTTCGAAAGTATTTTTTCTGTCTTATCTAGAAACCTTTCAGCTTGTGCCTTCCTTAGCCATCTCTCTGAAAAATAACATGTGAGTATTTTGGGTAGGGCCTAGAATGTTAAACACAGCATAACGTTTCAATTAATTGGGAGACAGCCCAGTTATAGTGATGGTCCTGAAAATTGCATCACTAAGAGACATTATAGCCATCCTGGTTTGTGGGGAAATGTCTTCTGATGTCCACTCAACAGTGAAATTTTACCAGAACATATTCCAGTAGTTACATGAGGCAACTACTTTGAAAAACTGTGTTAGTTATTATGTTAAAGGCAGAATTTTTTATTTTTCTAGTAACAGCTTCATTGATTTGTTCTTGTACACTTTATTCATAGTTTCATTCTTTTAATGAGCTATTTGAAAATAATCTGAGATGATCAAGTAATATTTGAATTTAAATAGCTGTAGTTTTGAAAGTGAGTTTGAAATTGTGGGGGATTAATACAAATAAATGCTATCCTTGCTGATTCTTGTCATTTTAATTTTTAACCAAAACAACATTTAGATATGGACAAAGAAGATGCATTAATTTGCTTTGAAGAACACATTCGGGCTTTAGAAAAGGAAGAAGAAGAAGAAAAGCAGAAGAGTTTACTCAGAGAAAGAAGACGACAGCGCAAAAATAGAGAATCTTTTCAGGTAATAGAGGGAAAATTCTTTAATACGGTTACTGAGCTTCAGTGATGACAAAGTGTTTCAGGTCCTTTCCTCCGATATCATTGACTTGGACGTTGTGGCAGACCTATAATCTTTAATTCATTGAGTTCTATAACTTTGTCCATCTGCTTACACAGAAACTTTAGTTGGGTATGGGAATCAAGATTGTAACGTCATGTAAGGTGAGCGTTGATACATAAGATTTTTGTTGAGAAAAATGAATCCATGAGAGATGACTGACTGGTGCTAGTTGCTATACAGTCAGCAGAGAACATTAGGAATCCTGTATTATAGTTTCAGTGTAAGATCTGTGGCTATGTGTCAGCTAATGGATAATGTTTACCCCTCATGTTTATTTTATATTCATTACTAGGACTGTCGTATAGCAATTAGTTTTTGCATTTCATTTCTCACCACGTTCCCCATTTTCCAAAAATTAGGGTATGCAGATCCCATGATTACATTTTACCTTGGAGAATTTGAGAATCTAGTTTTTTGCTTTGTTTTGTTTTGTTTTTTAGTTAAGGCTGAAATGTGGCTGTAAATCAGATTAGTAGCTGCTAATGTTAAGCTTGATGGTATTCCTTCAGATATTTATTTCAAAAGATATATAGAACGTCAAAATGTATGCAAAAAAGTCTTTGCATTTACCATATAATACAGTGGATGGAAACTCAATAGTACTGATTATCACTTTCTTTTTATAGAGTCCTCATTTGCCAATCAGGAGATGATAATATGTCATACTGGTGATCAAGAAACTCATTTGTATTATTTTAAACTTAAAGCTTGTGCTTGAATTCATACCAGATAAGGAAAGGATTGTAATTTGAATAGAACAGTTTGGTCCTCGGTAGATAATTCCCAGTTACACAGAATTAGTAGTACCACCTGGAAAATTATTGAAGTGCAAATTTTCAACAAATCTTGTCACTCAAATATTGTTGGTGGAGCCTAACAGTCCCCCTAACAGCAGTTGTTGAGGAAACCCTTGAATTAAAAAGTGATAAAATATTAAGAATTTTAATGTACTGAGGTAATACTGTTAAGCATAGTAGGGAAGCACTGCCAAATAGGTGAAAGGTAAATAAACGTATTGTACTTTTCTCTCTGATGTTTTCATGAGGTACATATTAAATATAGTTTAGGACAAAGGCTTTTCTTGGGTAATACAAAACCAGTCAAGAGGAAGACAGTGAAGAAGGAATTGAAAGATAGAGGTATCCTTTAAGTAAATAAAATCTTATTAGGTATTCAGTGTGTATGTATATGTATATATGTATTCACATGTATATGAAGATTTTGAACAGTGCAAGGGGCAAGATGGGGAGAAATAAGGGACAAAAGAATACTGAATTGTGTTCAAGCAGGGAAGATTTTGTTGGTATCAGTATTTGGAGCGGCTGCTTTTGGCATATTTGGGTAGTGATCAGAGATGTTGCCAAATATCTTTGGGCATGAGATCTGTCTTCTCCCCGAAGAAAGAAGAAAGTGCCCAGGGTGTCACTAGTGCCAAGGTTAGCTCTTCTCATCTGAGGAGAGGGGGTATATCAGGCAAGTTTGGCGAATTTATAAAGCATCTTGCTTTTTGTAATGTTAAAATTTGTGCCTGCCTTGCACACCTTCTCCCCCTCCCTGTCTCCTTTATCTGATAATTATTTTAGCAGTTAACTCAGAGCATAAGGACTTTTGTGGGTTTTTATTCACTTACTTGCAAAGCAGATTTGCGAAGAGAATAGGGGAAGCTCTTTCATCTGCTGGTTTGCTCCCCACCTTAACGCCTGGAGCTGAGCCAGAAGCTTCTTCTAGTTCTTATACTATGTGTAGGGGCCCAAGGTCTTGAGCCATCTGCTGCTGCTTTTCCCAGTGTAAACAGGGCGGTGGATCAGAAGGTGTGACTAGAATCAGCCCCCAGAGCAGTTTTACAGAATAGTAACTAAGGGGTAGGGTAGTGTGAACGTATGAGGAGTTCTCATACACTCCTCAATCTGTTTCTTGTTACTATTATTATCTCATATATTATTATCTCATTATTTTTAAAAATAGAATTGTAAATACCTGAATTTCAGCTCATTACTCAAAAACATACCAGTGTTCCAATTACTTCTAGTTTTTATTCTGGTTAGGGTTCCACTATTGACAAGGAGTTGGTATCCCAAGTCAGCGACCTGGAAGTGTGAGGCACAAGCAAAGCAGATATTATAGGACAGGTTATGAGATCTGATGAAGCGTTATAAAAGGTGGTTTCTCAGATAAAGTTGTCTGTACTGATGTAATTTTTCGTTTGAAGTGGATTTGCAAGTGCTTTGTTGTTATTTGAGGACAGCATTATCCAATGAACAAATATTCTATATGAGCAGTCCTAATTTGCAACCAATATATTTAATCTGTGGTATCAAAAAGTGATTTTTACTTGTTAAAATTTGTAATTTTTAAATCATTGTGTTTTATACTTAGAACTCATTATAATTCAGAATAGTCACGTTTCATTTACTCAGGTATGTTAAGATTACTGTTTTGAAAAATGCAGGTGCTAAAAATTGTAGTTATAGAGTTGAATTTCACAGTTGCCTTAGAGGTGTTTGTTTATAGAATTAAACTTCGAAGGATTTGGGGAAAGAGGTTTAGAAGTTCCTAAGGGTTGAAGTCACTGTATATTCTGCGAAACTGAATTATTAGGGAACATGAAGAAAGAAGAGAAATAAGCAAATACAAAAAAGGTTTATATTTAAGTAATAATAGTGATATGAAAAATAAAATGGTCTGAAATTAGATAGGAGTTTGCTTTTATATTTGTAACGGGAAATATTATTCTTGCATTTTTAAGATGTGCCCCTATAGTCCCTTGTATCTCTAATGCTCATGCTCTTCAAGATGGCTGTTCAATTAGAACTACTTTCTCCCCCCTAGATATTTTTAGATGAATTGCATGAACATGGACAGCTACATTCTATGTCATCCTGGATGGAATTATATCCAACTATTAGTTCTGACATTAGATTCACCAATATGCTTGGTCAGCCTGGTAAGATTCCTTTCTTTCTTAATTTATAGTTAAGAACCTAGTTGGAATGAGCCAAAAAGCAAGATAATTATTTTGAGGGAGAGATGTTTTATTTTATTTTTATTTATATTATAAACAAAAAGTAATTGCAGCTCTTTGGTTAGAGCTAGCTTTTGACTTCTTTAGTTTTTTCATTAGGATCAACTGCACTTGATCTTTTCAAGTTTTATGTTGAGGATCTTAAAGCACGTTATCATGATGAAAAAAAGATAATAAAAGACATTCTAAAGGTAAGTAGTCTTACCTGTTTTGCTGTAGTATATAACTAGTACTCTATTAATCTTAGGTATTTGTTTTATATAAACACATTTTCTGCATTTTAGGATAAAGGATTCGTAGTTGAAGTGAATACTACTTTTGAAGATTTTGTGGCAATAATTAGTTCAACAAAACGATCAACTACATTAGATGCAGGAAACATCAAGTTAGCCTTCAATAGTGTAAGTTCATGATTTTAAAAATAAGTAACTGGTGAAATATACAATAGTGCAGTTTTTAATGTTTCAGATAAATGGTTAAGTTGAAAAGTATTTGGATAATAGATCTTTATAAAGAGATTGTCCACTGTCTCTTTGATAAGGTAAAAGTAATTACTGTTTAAAATTTTTATTTTCTTGAAAGGCAAAGCAACAGGGAGAGATATCTTCCAGGTGCTAGATCATAATCAGAATGCTGGCAACAGCCAGGGCTGTGCCAGAATAAAGGTATGAAGCCAAATCTTCAGCTGCGTTTCTTTGCTGGATGTCAGGGACCAAGTGCTCCAGGATGCATTAGCAGGAAGCTCGATTCAGAAGTAGAAGAGCTGTCCAGTGTTGGATGTGGGCATCCCAAGCAATGGCTTAACTCACTGCACCACAAAGCCCATCCCAAATATATTTAGATGATGGCATGTTAAACTTCCTTTTTTGTTGAGATAAGGTGGTTCTTATAAATGATGTGTGAGTACTTGTAAGAACAATTCTATAACTATTTGATTAATCATGATTTTCTGATAGTTGCTAGAGAAGGCAGAAGCCCGTGAACGTGAAAGAGAAAAGGAGGAGGCCCGGAAGATGAAACGGAAAGAATCTGCATTTAAGAGTATGTTGAAACAAGCTGCTCCTCCAATAGAGTTGGATGCTGTCTGGGAAGATGTATGTATATGTGTAAATTTTTTTCCAATGAATTTTATGATGTTTCTTTTTACAGCCACACACAAGCAAAAGTTATTTGTTTAATAAATTAGTATAATATTAACTGTGGCACTAAGTTAAATCAAAGAAAAAAGACTGTAAAGAGTTGGGATCATCATAATTTTCACTTGCTGCTATTCATTTTAGATATATTTGTATCCTATTGGCATTCATATGTTTATTCCCTATTTTGTTTTTCAGATCCGGGAGCGGTTTGTAAAAGAGCCAGCATTTGAGGACATAACCCTGGAGTCTGAAAGAAAAAGAATATTTAAAGATTTCATGCATGTGCTTGAGGTAATTTTAGAGTTCTCATAACTAATTGAAATAATACAAAATACATAAAAGTATAAACAAAATAGAATTTAGAATGATCTGTTAATATATTCACTTCTTTATTTATGTTTAATTTCTGCTTACTTATTTGAAAGTCAGTATACACTGATTCACTCCTGAACTACCCCACAGTGAAGCTTAATGATGCCAACTTCTGGAACTCAGTCCAGAGCAAATGTTCTGCATCAAAAACCCAAATACTGGAGCTTTCACTATGGCCTCTCAGTGTCAGGAATCTTGAATCAGGAGCTGGAGCAGTAATTGAACCTGGGCAATGTGATGTGTAGGACATTGTGTACACTCCTAACTAGCTACGCCAGATTGCTACAGCTTTGTTATTTGACAAGGCAGAGAGTTACAAAATGCTGGGAGTGCAGGGGGAAGAGACAAGAAGGAAAAAGAGGGGAAGAAAAAACAGAAGAAAGGAAGGAAGAAATACAATTGAGGTCTTGAGGTTAAGAAGGCAGGCCGTCACTCAGTGAAATAAAAAGAGCAAGAGTCTTCTAGGTCACATTTTCAATATCCACTTTGTTGGTTAATGTAGTATGTTTAAGCTGCTGATATATTTGAATGTTAGCTTTTACTGCTGCACTTTCCATCAGCCTTAAAGTTGTTTTAATGAAGTAGTTGAAGTCCACAGAGATGTGGCTTCCACATATCCCCAGGATGTCCTGAGTAGGAAATGCTTCCAGAAGGAAAAGAAAGTGTGATTGATTGGGCATTTATTTTGTAACCAACCTTGTTTTATTTTAGGAGTGACACTTGAGGTTCTTTCTTGCTCCCTGGCTGTCTGGCCTGCATTACTAAACAAAGCCAGATTTGTCTGGCGGGGGAAAAGCATGTCTAATATTATTGTTACTGAAAGTACTTGTGATTGTTCTGAAAATTATTTCTGGGATGTATCAACTTTCCCTACCAGCACATACCATTTTATTTTAAAGACTTTGTGTACTAATAGTTTTTAATATTGTTTTATGTAGATGTTTAAATGAGTATGTAAAGGATGAATAAGAACAAATTAATCATTCTTTGCAATATGATAAAGTTTTACTGTAGGAACTTAATTTATGTAGCTTCTAAAAATTTGTGATGCTCTGTTTAAAGTGAAACTTAACACTGAAATTTTCTGTTCTGTGTCTAGCATGAATGTCAGCATCACCATTCAAAGAACAAGAAACATTCTAAGAAATCTAAAAAACATCATAGGAAACGTTCCCGCTCTCGATCCGTAAGGAAGTGGTTTAGTAACGTACAAATATTAAATGTATTTAAATATTTGTTAGCTTCCTTGCATGAAATTGTTTGTGTCTTTTAGGGGTCAGATTCAGATGATGATGACAGCCATTCAAAGAAAAAAAGACAGCGCTCGGAGTCGCGTTCAGCTTCGGAGCATTCTTCCAGTGCTGAATCTGGTGAGCATTCTGTCCACCTGACTGAACTCCTGAACACTTTGCAGTTCTCAAATTCTGATACCTTTTTGCATTTTAACTCCTCAGAGAGAAGTTACAAGAAGTCAAAAAAGCACAAGAAGAAAAGTAAGAAGAGGAGACATAAATCTGTAAGCAAGCTTCTAATGTCTGTACTTAACCTAGGCAGTGCCTGTAGGGTAGAACATTATTCTGACTAACTCTGTGTGCAGTTCAGATATGTACTGGGAGTTTAGTTGTTTTTCATCCTAAGTTTCAAGTAAAGTCATTTCATGTTCTCTGATAATATACATCAGCATTAGGATTCCCACCCTCTTAAAGCTAGTCTTCAAAAAGAAACGTGTGTATGTTGTAACTTGTGTAGCAGTTTCTCTCCTATTGCAGTTCTTAATCTTGGGTGTACATTAACATTATATGAGGTGCTATTTCATAAGGGCAAAGTTGCCAATGTAAGACTGCTGAAATGGAAGTTTTTCTGTGCTGCTTAGTTAAGTCAGTACATGCCTTATTACCACTTATGAGTGACATTTTAAATACTTTGCTACTTAGTAATTTTGAGCAGAGAATTTGTTTATATGACTGTCGTCCTTACATAAGGATACTTCAGAAAGTTCACATGTAAATGTTAATTTTGGCACAAAGAAATTCTGGAAATCCATGCAGGGTTAGTTGGGTTTTTTCCATCATACTCATGGTTAATTACAGTCTTTATGTCTGTGACTTTCTGTAGATTTTTTTGAACTGTAGTAAATCTCATTGCATTTTCCATGAACTGTTTGAAGTGCCTTACACTGATTAAGGCATTGGAAGCATATTTATCTAAACAAACCAGTATTTCATTGGGGTGACAAAGTATTGCTTTGGAAGTGAAGCTCTTTGCATATAGTAGTTTACAATCAAAGTGTCATCTTTGTCAAAAGGCAGAGTAGCTTTCTCTCATGAATTTCCTTAAGCACAAAGATGCTATAAAATTTCCTTCTTAACTATTCAAATTATATTTTACTGCTTTAGTAAACCATGTAATCTGTTAGGAATGTATGGGTGTTACATGTATATGAATTTTTGAAAAGCAATGGCATCTTAATCAGAATACTTGTTACTTTATATTCACATAGGACTCCCCAGAATCAGATACTGAGCGTGAGAAGGATAAAAAAGAAAAAGATCGGGAAAGCGAAAAAGATAGAACTAGACAAAGATCAGAATCAAAACACAAGTCACCTAAGAAAAAGACTGGGAAAGATTCTGTAAGTGTTTGAATTATTTGATGCCTTATTTTCAAAGGACAAAAATATACTGTTAAAACCCTAGTAGTGGTTAAGTAATAGACTATCTCAGGCCTGTAACTATTAAAACAATGAAGTTTAGTGAACTATTCTGACTCAAAATAGTTTTTTAATGTATATTCTTTCTTCAATTATTCTTTTTTAGATTTATATTTATTTATGTGAGAGGTAGATTTACAGTGAGAGAACATGCTTCTGTCCGCTGGTGCACTCTAAATGGCCTCAGCAGCCAGGGCTGACCCAGGTGAAAGCCAGAAGCAAGGAACTCCATCCAGGTCTCTGCATGGGTGGCAGAGGCTCATGTGTTTAGGCTGTCTTCCCTAGCTGTTCCAGGCTCGTTAGCCAGGGACCTGAAGAAGTGGAGCAGGCAAGACTTAAGGGGTGCTGGTGAAGTGGGTGGTGGTTTAACCCACTGTGCTGCAATCCCAGCCTCAGAATACAGCATTTCATACGTATAAGTTTACCCCATCTAGGAAGAACATACATATTTTCTACTTAAATTTAAAAAGTTCTTTCAAGGACTATAATGTTTAGGGCTGAGGGGCGTGTTCTTTCACAGCATGTAGGTGCCACTTGAGAAGCCCAGGTTTGAGTCCTGTGGCTGCCTACTCTTAGGGTGCAGCTTGGAAGCAGCAGGTGGTAATTCAGGTATTTGGTTCCCTGCCACACAGGTGTGAGGACTGGATGCAGTTACTTCAGGGCACTGCCGAGGGAACCAGTGGATGGGAAAGCTCCAGCTGTCTTTAGTTGTCATTATCCCTAGATCCATTTTCAAACTATTGCAGTCCAGTAACTTCTGGGTGAAGACAAATGGATTGGAGGACAAATACTAAACAATATTAGTGTGGGTTGTTTTGTAAGATTTACTTATCTTGAAAGTCTCAGTTACCTTAGAGAGAAACAGTAATCTCCCATCTGCTGATTGTCTCCCCAAATGGCTGCACTGGACTAGGCCGAACCCACGAGTCAGCAGCTTTATCTGGTTTCCTGGGTCTGTGGCTTGATTCATGTTCTGCTGTTTTTCCCCAGGGCATTAGCAGGGAGGAGGAGTGCAGATAGAAATGGGGCAGCCTGGACTTTACCTGTTGCCCATATAGGATACTGGTATTGCATGCAGCAGTGTTAATTGCTAGGCCACAATGCCAGTCTCAAGGTGATTGGATTATTTTAGTGTCAACTTAGTCTTAAATTGTCCAATATACAGATGCTTCAGACCGTTCATGGAAATTTTTTTTTACAATTTTTTTTTGTTGTTGTTAGTCTGTCTTGATTTAAAAAGAAAAACTGGAAAGTCATTTGTAATTTTCTCATGCATTTTTTACATTTTTTTTTTTTTAAGATTCATTTTTATTGGAAAGGCAGATTTACAGAAAAAAGGAGAAAAAGATCTTCCCTCCACTGGTTCACTCCCCAAGTGGCCGCAACAGCTGGAGCCCTATTTTCGATGTTTTTAAATTAGGATCTCACAACATTCTTGAGCCCAAAATGAATACTTTTTAATTCACTCTTTTTGAAATGTCTTCATATTCAAATGACAGAGCATGACATACTGCAAGCCTCTTCAGCTGTGTTTAATGGGTTAATGCCTGTGAATCACTGGAGAGCAGTAACTATAGATAAGTTCTAATCTTACCTCTGTATTTGCGTTGATGGGATTAGACTGAGTTGCAGCAGATGGATCTGATTTTAATCCTTGGTGAACAGTTCTCCCTATATGGGGATCGTTCCTGGACTGAATGAGTCCCTTCAGTAAAGGTGGATATGTGAACTATCTACTCAAAAGGCTGTATCTTACAGGTTACGTAGTATCATTCCCCCCACACACAATTCTTGCATATTTATTTTGACATAAGAATCAGTATGCTCAAGGTTGGTTGGAGTTGCACCACAGCTTACGCTGCCAATTGAGGTGCTGCATTCCATCTCAGTTAATACTGGAGCCAAGACTTTTCACTATCCAGCTTTCTACTGATGCATCATGGGAGTCAGGTACAGGTGTTTGGGCCTTCGCCACCCACATTTGAAGCAGATAAACTCCTGGGCTCTTGGCTGCAGCAAGGGCCATTCCTGACTACTGCAGGCATTTGGGAAGCAGAACCAACACATCAGTTTATTATTATTCTTTCTCTCAGCCTTCCACCCTTTTTCAAGTAGATAAAACTTTTTTTTTTTAAAGGGAAAAATCAGTATTTCAAAACTTTTAGGGTAAAGAATCTGTATAGGATTACTAGGACTTAGGAAATGAATACCTTGCTTCCAATAAAAGAACATGTGATGTTTCCTGTTCAGTTCTGTGAAAGGAAAAGAAACCAGCATATAATGTTTTGCTTTATGTGTTACTTTAAACTAAGAAGTAGAAACATATTAAAAAATATGGTTCTCTAATGTAGGAGTCATTCATTAGTAAAGTACTGGCCTCTATGAGAAGAGGTCAGGCTCTGACCATATGAAATGTTTCTCCATCTGTATTTTTTAGTTTTACTACATTGTTATCTTCTGAGTACACACTAACTATAATTTTATATTCATTGCCTTTCCAGGGAAATTGGGATACTTCTGGCAGTGAACTGAGCGAAGGGGAATTAGAAAAGCGCAGAAGAACCCTTTTGGAGCAACTGGATGATGATCAATAAATTATACCAAATATATGTTTACAGTATGATTTAAAGTCTAATTCAGTCCAGGGATTCTATTTTAAGTTCAGTTTAAATAACACTGGGTTTTAATTATCACAGAAAAAAAAGTGCATTTAAGTATTGTTATTGTGGACTTTATAAAAGCAAAAGAACTGAAAATAACTTCTGATTCTGTATCAAGAATCATATTTTCATACGGTCATACAGCTGTGTCTGTGACCCTTTTACAGGGCACTGCAGGGTGGATTAAAGGTGGCAATTTACTGAGAACTGCAGATGTCTCTACTTTGTTCTGAAGTCATGAGGTGATTTGATTTACTTTATAGAAGTTGGATTTTGAAGACATAATGAAAATTTTTGATAATACAGTAGTACAAAAAAAGCACCAGCAACTGATAAAACTGCTTTTTGTGCATTACCCAACTGGTTAAAGCCAATGTGATCTTTTATGGTGAGCTGCTAAGAAATAGGTGTTTTTGATGGAAACTTGGTTAGACCCTTTAAAACTACAGACTTGTGCTAATGAGCACATATAATAAAGCCACCATTATTTTTTATGAAACATCAGACTACATTTTAAAAAGGCTATGTGAGGGCATTATTTTGAGCTTCTATTTTGAGGTAATATTTTTAAAGTTAACATCAAATCAAATTGTAAATTAGTTTAAATATATTGCCTTAAGGACCTACTAAAGAATGTGCCACCAAACTTTAAGTGATAGTTGCAATATCCTTGTCTAAAAAGAAAATCAATGTTGACTTAAACATTCTTTAACAGTTGTCTTGATTTTTTTTTTTAAACCAATTTTTTTTCCACTGAGGAAGTCTTTTACCTTCCCTACTCACTGAGAAGTATTGGCTTGGCTTCATGGTACACATTCTAAAGCATTTCTGATTTGAATATTTTTGTACATTTTTATCAATTATTAAACCTTCTCTTCTAGTGTGTACTAGTATTTATTTCTACTTAAACTGCTTAGCACTAAAGAAATTGTATGATCATTTTGAGATACTACGTCCCTGAGATTGTGCTTCGTCTTACGCAGTTTCCCTCTTGTAAGAATGTGACAAATCCTTACATTCGAGATCCTTAGGTTTATTTTTCACTTGTGAATTTCCTATGGAATATTTCAGAGAGGCAATGGTTTAAAGATAGAATACTCCTTACAGGCCAACTTTTAAAGTTGGTAATGTAATTTATACTATTTTCCTTCAGTGCAGGAATTTTTTTGTTTTTGCTTTTTTGTTTTTAATAAATTTTAGTGCATAGTCTTTGGAATTATCTTTGTTATTTTAATTTTGTCATTTTCAGAGACAGTATTTTCTATTGGGATTTAGAACAAGAAGTTTTCCCCTCACCATCTTTAGTTTGATAGTGGACCTGAGCAGGATGGCAATTTGTTCCTCAAAGGGAATGTATCCAAGTGTCCAATGTTTAAAGGCTGATGGGGAAAAGTTGTTACTGAACTTGGCTGTCATTTTTCTCTATGAAGTATGACATGCCTTTGTAGAAAGAATCATTACCTTTAAGAAAACGTGATTGAATGGTTTGCTTGAGATTAGCCTTCTGTTGTATATTAAAGTCCAAACTTAACAGCTTGGGCAATAGTGAATTGCCTCATCGTAATTTTCAGAAGTCTTGTTGTAATGATAGTTAAGATTGCTAATCATGTCAGACTAAGACATGGAAGTCAGTGATCAAGTTTTCAATATGCATATGATACTGGGAGATATACTAGTAAGAAAATAGAATCTGTAAAACATTGTTTTAATTATTTCCATGAATGATTTTAAGTAAAACCTTAAAGTTTTGATTTTTCTATTTAAATAAAAAGTTATTGATATGTTTTAGCATGTCCTTAAAATAGATTTCTGTATTTCTTATAATTTTATCACAGCCTAAATCCCAATTACAAGACAGTAAATTCAGATAGCTGGGTTTGAAAATCATCTGATCTGAAAACAAAGGGTCAACAATTTGCAAAACAAAATTTAAATCCTTTCTACAGAAAGATTAAATGAAATGACTGTAACCCTTTGGCTTCCCTTAATGGTCCAGTCAATGGATTTTAGTGGCTGGAATCTTACCAGGTTGGTAGGAAGATTTTGTTCCCTATGAATACTATGTACTTAATAGATTGTAAGTCTTCAGTTGGGTAAAAGCTGAAATAGCTTACAAAGTTGATTAGTGTTGAGCAGAAATGTTCAGACAGAAAAGCATGTTTAGTTTCCAGGGGAATTTATGTTTCGTAATGAATACTCAGGCTGTTTATCCCACATCATCGTTAATAGTACCTAATGCATGAAACTCACTGGTGTTTGATACTGTCAAAAAATAGGGATCTTAGATATGAGATAGCTTACATTTTCTTTCAGTTCATAATTCATGGGGAATGGAATTTGTATTTACAGTTAGATAATTTAGCCAATCACGTACAAAAAATGTGTGCTCTCCCTTAGTTGAGTTTAAATAATGGAGCCATTTAAATAAAAAAGCAATGGTAATACCATGACAGTTTTTTCAACTTAGTGGCTAGCATTTTGCGATTACCCAGAGTAGCTTCGTAATACAGATTGTTCATGTTTCTGGACATAAAGTACGTTTTATACCTCCCAATTTGGCAATCATCAAGTTATTTGACTTTGCATAAGTAGCCCTCACAGTAAAGGAGGATTATCCTGAAATAGAGCAGTTAGTTTATAACAGAACGGTAAAGCAACTACAAAAACTCCTTGAATATCTTCTGTTTCTAGAAAGCAATTCAATTAAAATAGCTTAATTCAATTAAAATTGCAAATACCAGTTACACTTTTAGGAGCATTTACCTAGAATTCTGACTTTCTTGCTAGGGAGCCATTTTCACTTTTGCCACTGGAAAAGAATGACTCCTTTAGAAAAAGAATTTTTATAAAGGCTGTGGGAGAGAGGACAGTGCTTAATGAAATATTGCACAGGGAAGAGGGTGATTGATACCTATTTTTTATGTTTCTAGGCCATTAGGTTACAGAATCCAAATGCAAATTCTAGAACTAAAATGCTAGCTGTTAAATCTTAAAGCAGTATTTCTGAAGATAATTGGAGCAAAATGTATTTTATGCCTTTGTGTTTAAAAGAGTGTGAACTCTTCTATCCAGATATGACTGGCCCAAAGTCTGGACCCATGGCCTTTCCTACACAGATGCAAGTGACATCCTCCACTGCTTTCCCCAGGCTCAGTAGCAGGAGCGTAAGTGAGGCAGCTGGGACGTAAAGCAGCACCCATATGGGATGCGTTTATTGCAGGTGGCAGCTGGGTCATTGTATTACCACAATGTGGCCCCCTTATAATGTGCTTTTATCTTAAATCTGAGACATTCTGTTTTCCTTGAGGTTTGTTTTTTTTTTTTTTTCTCTGTCTCAGTATCAGGTTGATTTTGATTTAGCCACCTTAGATTCTCTATGTAAAGTCACTGACTTGCATAAAGGAAAATGTTATTGTCATGGAATTGTTCTAGTAAGCATATGAGACTTATCATTCTTACCTTCATTTTTCTTACCTTGTTCTCTTCGTTGGTGTAAAAAGTGGTCATAGAAGTTCCTCGGTGGCCAGAATTTGTTTGATTTACTGCTGCATGTATACACACACACACACACAACCCTTTTGTGGCTTAAGACAGTGCCTGACACATAGAAGCAGTAACTGAAGGAATGAAAATATTTTTATTTAGTTATTCAGCATATGAAATATGCATCATCTGTATAAAAAGGCTTTGAAAAAGCTTTATTGCAGGAAACCATACTAATGCACAACCAAGACCACAATCAATATTTGTCCATATAAAATAATTACTTCAGAAGTATCTAAATTCAAAGCTAAAAACTAGTCATTTGTGTCTATTTCTAAATGTTGGTGAATCGGTTGGTGGCAGGAAGTTGACTGTAGGTTACAGTGGAAAATGGGAAATGATTTTGCTTCATTCCCACACACCCCTCAACTCTCCATTTTCGTTTATCCAGTTAAAATTACTTAACCAGTCTAGTAAATTTTATACTTTTAAAACTTTCCATATAGAGACTGGTAAATTTTTTTCAGTAGGATCTTAGGCAAGGTTATCTCAGTGTTACAGCTTAGCAATTAATAATTGATGCTTGCATTGCACAAGAATTGGCATATACACACCATTATAGATTATGAAACAGCAAGTAGCTGACCTAGTGAGATCCAATTCAAACTGCATCATTTGTGCTATGCTGTGCTGTTCTTCAGGATAATTAAATGTGTAAGTTTGGTCCTGCCTGCAAACTTTCCTGGTAGGTGTTGGTCTTAACCTACCTCTGCAGCTGAGCTGAGGACTGGTTCTGAAAGGTGAGTAATGGAAAATGACATTTTTTTGTTTTCTATGTTTGTAATAACCAGATTATCACTTGTTTGTTTTCATGTAAAGGATTTCTTACAAAGTTAGGTCTTTTGTAAATAAATTAGAAAACCATCTTTTACTAAATAAAAGATTTGTATCAATGTTTCCATTTACACACTGGTCGTAGTAAGCAGTTCTGGTTTGTGAGTTTCAAGAAGCCCCGCATCCTGTTTTCTGAATGTAATACCTTTTTTTGGTGAAATGTTAGACCAAAAAAAAAAAAAAAAAAAACGATCAACACTTCATAAATTTGTTTCTTTGATTGTTTCTTGGGAATAGCAAGGGTACTAGATTTTGCAAAGAGATGAAAAACAATAATCCCTCTGTATTATCTTTGTAGATATTCCTGGTAAAAGTATATGAGGGCAGTTTTATCAAAAATTAAAATAGATACTTTATTATCAGTTCTATAATTCACATGTATCTTAAAAACTGGGTATTAAAGTGTTGAATAAAAGCATTCATTCACCTGTATTGAGTCCCATTCATGCTGAAGCAGAGGGAGTCAGGAAACTCACTGAACGCCACAGTATATACTTCAGTGTTAGAAAGCATGGTAAGTGGAGAACAAAGAGTCTGAATTCAAACATCTTTCTGCTAAGCCTAAACTATGGCCTTATTTGAACTTAATTGCTGTAGTTTGGATCTGAACACATTCTGAATTTGTGGACTAAATTAGTTTTGGCAAAATATGCAACTGGAACCAAAGCATTGGTACTTTTCCACCTAGTATTGCTTTTTGTTTGTTTGTTTTTGGTAGAACACCCAGATGAATATTTGTGGGTCGTGGAGGAAAGAGATTTCAAAACCCAAAAAAGCAATTCCTATGGCAATAGTAAGCTCATCAATACAGATTGTAGTTTGCTCAAATAGGAAAAGATTTTTCCTCAAATCAAAGCATTTAAGCTCAAATAGCAAGATGGGTCTACACAAAAAAATCCACCAGAAGGTATCACTGAAAGATTATAACATATTACAGAATAGTAGTGTAAATAGTTTATTTGCTCATATGCCATGAAAAGACCAGAAAGGTAACATGAATTGCTTTTATAAAACATTTCTAATATTGCTAAGAAGCAGGCCCATTAATAGACAAACAGTAAAGAACATGCCAACATCATTGTCTATTTGAAGAATAAACAAGCAATGGTTCTCACATGTATGCCAGCACAAAGATTTCAAAAATAGCTGCTTTGTAGTAAATTTCCAACTATTGTGTCTTGTGTACCTCCAATCAAATTGCTATTTTTACCAGAATGTATTTTAACTGAAAGACAAAATGTTGGCATGTTCTTTTTTTTCTGCAGAGTACACATTATGGAAATGTACCACCGAGTGGCAGCTCAAAAGTAATCTGTAAATAGGTATACTAAAGTGAAATGTAACAGATCTCTAGGCTGTTCTTGTAGTTAAATATATTTAATAAAAAAAACTATAAGTTAAAATAACATTCAGATTGTATAGAGTAGGCTGCTGAATTTTAAAGCAATATTTACAATTATTACCCAGAGGCTTCGGTGGGAATTAAAGAGAAGTGTAAAAACCATAAAAAACTGCACCGATTTTATAGCAAAATATCTGTACATTTAAAAAGAGGTCATATAACTACACGTTATCCAAGGAAAGGTGACCTTCACCCAAGGGCTCACATAAGCACAACATAAAATAAACTCAGTGGTTAAATACTATACAATAAACTTTACAATTAATATACTGATGGTAATTACCAAGAAGGTAAGCCAGAAGCAGAATGTGCGTTATTAAAAGTATAGCTTCAATCCAGTTTTTCACTTTGGAATGGGTCAAGCGCCCTTCTGGGGGGGAGGGGGGAGAGACAAACTTAATCACAATGTATTTTTCAATAAATGTACCTCCCCATAAGGAATTTGGGGATTTAGCTTTAATGTGTGATGCCAAATGTATCATCTTCAATTTACAAAGAGAAACAGATTGGGGTGGGGGGGGGGAGGGAAACACCTGCGATTGTCAGGAAAATAAAAGCCAGGTTCCTAAAACTACCCTGTTAGCAAATGTAATTTTGAATATTTGTTGACAAGAGCTAGTGAACTCCCTGGCTAGGAAGGCACCAGTTTCTACTCTTAGGATTTTTGAAGACCATTATAGGTAGATCCTAATACTGAGATGTTAAATTAGTGCCAGTTAATAAATATATTTGCATTATTTTAAAAAGCTGCCTTAAGCGGAAGAACAGTACTGCAGTTAAGTCTCAAGATGGCATTTTACGCCATCATATCCTTGCATTCAACCCAGTAACCATCTTGGACAGGGCATTATACCCTAGCACAGAAGGAAGATGCAACACTAGAGACAAAGTTGAGTGACTGACTTATGTGTCACTGCAACTGCATCTCATTTGCGCTTTGCCAGGGCTTAGGTAATGGACAGAAGTAGTTCATCATGTGACTTGTCACTTGCAAGTCCTTATAAATACAAAACTGGATGGATATAGCTGAAACACAAAATTCCTTAAGACGTTTCAGCAAAAGAAGCCCATAGCAAATGCAACCATGTTACAATTTATCAGGATACCAGGGTAGACCATGGTGCAATCAAAATGACAGGTAATGAATTTCATACGAAATTTACATTTTGGTTTAAAAAAAACCAATTGGTGTTAAAAAAAATAATCAAATCAAATCCTATTGCTTTGATTAATCTGAGCAGGTATTTCCATTTTTTAGGCACTTGTTAACAAGGTTTGAAAGAAAAGCCCATCATTATTTCTATGTGGTTGCTAAATCCGAGCCCTTAAAAATATTTTATCTGTGTGCAAGGCTGCAGTTAAATAATAGCACATAAAATTTATGTGGGCAGTTTTCATTCATGCACACCCTCTTCATGTAGGCAGGTTCCTGGAAGTCACATCGTTATTTCCGCACCATTAACAGAACGCAAGTTTTGTTCATCAAAGCGCCGCCTGACACTTCTCCTCACCGCATCGGCTCTTCTATATGGTTGGTTTCTAAGATCTGTAAAGAGGAGAGTGGCCAATGAAAGAATAGCAACCTTTCATACCCTGTGTCTTAAGCAAGACAAAGGCCAGCTGGCAGCCAATCAAAGCAGCTTGTGAAGAGTCAACTATTGGGCCCTTCAAACTCTGAGCATTGGACCAAAGCATGTGCATTTGCCTTAATATTTACAATCAAGATAGGATGCAGTACTCATTAAGATTTTGGGACTTGGAGAGAGAAATATACAGGAGATTATTTCTAGCACTGACTAGAAAGACTGGTGACATTTTTATTATAAGATTTCTTGAAATGGAAGCAGCTGTGGCTTAGTTTTCTCTGGAAGCCTAGATAACATCCTTAATTACAGTTCATTGTAAACTGCAAAACATGTATCTGATTGTCCCAACCTACAGTAGACAGGTACAGGTTGTTATTTTTATTCCATTAGGCTTACCACAGTTACTTTATCATTTGGGGTATTAAACACACAATGCCCAGTTTATAATGAAAGCTACATTGAATAATTGAATCCCCGAGTACTTTTTCCTGCCACACAATATTTGTTTCATCATATTTGGGAGATATGAGCCATTCTGTTTTCCAGCTTACATAGGCAGTGCACAGATGCCTGACAAGGAAAGGAGGGAGGGACATTTGGCATAGCGGTTAAGACATCACTTGAGATGCCCACATTTCGTGTCACAGTGCCTGTGATTGGGTCTCTCCATGGCTAATTCCAGGTTTCCTGCTTGTGTGCATCCTGGAAGGCAGCAGGGATGGCTCAAGTACCTGAGTCCCTCCCATGCCCAAGAGACTCAGATGGAGTTCTAGCTCCTAAGCCAGCAGACAGGATTGCTTCCCACTCAAAAACGGGGAAAAACTAGAAATAGCAATCACCACTTCCTAGTTTAAGAAGATACTGCTCTGTTGGGATAAACAGAGGAACATTACAAATATATAGATGCTTTCTTGAATAAGGTAAAACAGCCTAGATGGCAATCAACATCTTTTTGATGAAGTTAGGACATAATGGGGGAAAAAATAATAAAGCTGACTTTATACTCCCCTCCCTGTTCTGAACAGTATTGGGGTCTTCAAACAGCTCACAGAAAACGAACATTGAAAACACGGATTTCAAAATCTTTTGCACCAAAATATCTTAATTCTGCATATTTCCCTTTCATTAACTTAGTATTGTTGACTTCTGTCAGGAAGGGAAATAAAAACAATTTAGAATCAATTTTTTTTTTTTTACCTCTTCACTTGTTCAATTGAAAATAGAGCCACTGAGCCATATGCAGTTTACAAAATGTCCCATCACCTCCCATATTCTCAGTTTCTTGAGTTTTTAATATGGAAAATAAAATGAGGACTAAGGTGTCTGAATTCTCTTGAAAAAATGAAATCTATGGCTTTACTGGGTCCAGTAAGGTCAAGCTGGGGCAGGTTCAGCCACCCCCCTGGGGCCTACCCTTCCGGATCTGTCATTCCTGTTCCCCTTCTAAAGTCAAGAATTTTGCATGCTCTATTCCTCTTGAGCACTGGCATCCTAAACTAGACTGGTAATAAAAGGCCAGAAGCCCACTTTTGGCCAAGAATCCAGTCATTAGATCTTTGAAGCAATTAGTTCTAAAATCCTGCTTCCTCAAAAGCTGTAGATTATGTTTCTATGCCAGGGCCTGTCCTCAACCTTCAGATCAAAATGGAGTTAACTGAACAACATGAAGGCTGAGAAAGCAGCAATGGAAGGACAGCCTGGAACTCAAACCAAGTACCACCATCAACACCCATTGTGTTGTTCATCATTTTTGGAAACATGGAAGCAGGCCAAGAAAGAGTTGAGAGAGGAGCCCAGCTTTATATCAGTGGAATATGAGTACAAATGACTTCCCCTGGTCATACTGTCACCAGCATTACCCTTAGCCATAGATTGAAACCATTGATCTGCAAACAGAGACAGGAGGGAAGCTAAGTAAAAAGTGATGCTTGCCAGCTCTGTGTATCCTCCACCACCGGTGTGCTAGAAGAAATCCTTACCCTCGAGTGAACATTTGGAAATTTAGTGATATTATTCTTCTTTAAGGCTAAACAGAAAAAACAAAAACACAAAATGATGGTTAAGTAAAAATGGGATGAAAATGGAAAGCAACTCAACTTAGTGCTTAACATTCCTGGGCACGTTAGCCAACAGAGGAAGAGACTAGAAGGCCATTACTATCAGAAGTGTTAGATGAAACAAGGGAAGCTTGAGTGTCTGCCCACCCAGCTCTGACCACCCAGTTCCAAGCTGCTTTGAAGATTGGCTCCAGAAAGACAGTTCAGCAATAACACTAACTAACAATAAGCATAGACCAAGCAGATGAATTTCTAGCCTTGTTAATATACGTAGGTAAGCACACAGCAGAGCAAAGACATACAGCGCCCTTTGAGGCATGAGACAGAAACACAACAAGCTCAAATCATAGTCATTCCACAAAATAAACGCCCAGTTCCATGTCAATCTCAGCATAACAGTCAATCCATAGGCACTAGAGAAAAGCTTCACAATCTAAGCCCGGTAAATTACTTATTGAGAAAATCTGGTCATCTTTGACTTCTAACAACAGTGGCACTTTCCAATGACAGGTATTTGCTGTTGTTATTTCTGGTGCCAATATCCTAATTCAAGAAGCAGGTGCAATCTCCTCACAGAAGAAATATGCTGTGTTTGACATGGAATGAAATAGCAGTGAAGAGGTGTGGATGAGAGTAAGATGGCAGGGCCTATGTTTTCACTTTCACCTCATAGCTTTGCTCCAATATGGAACTATTCACAGTAGGCTTGAGGAAAGAGTTGTGACTGGCCCAGGCTGGGCTGTTAGGAGGCCACGGCCTGCCTCACAAGCAAACAGGCTTCTAAACCACAGCAAGGTAAAGATCACACCATGAATTCCACTACATTACAAAGTCTGTAAGATGGCCAAGAAGGCTTACTTTACACTACGCACTGCTCCCTGCTCCTGGGAATCATTTTGTCATCTTAGAATTTTTTGCATTGTTGTATAACAGGTTATTGTACTGTCAAGCAATGTTAACCAGGTATTTTTGTGTTTTAAAAAGAGCCTAGTTTAATGTCCTTAAACCTAGCAGATTGTAATAAGTACTCAGTCAACGTTAGGCATAATAATGACTGTGCCTGATGACAGTATCATTTTGCATCCCAATCTGTAAATTTAAAAATGCTAAAAACAATTCCTCTGTCCCAAGCCTGACTTTCAAAGAAGTGCTCTATTTACAATTTGTCTGCACATTTCTTCAAGCAATTCTATGAACTGTCAATCATGCCCAGACTGTTACAGCAATGTGCATGAAATGTACCGAAAAATGGCAATGAACGAGTAATAATAAAACGCAAAACCATGCACCATGAAGGCAGCATAAAACACAACATGATGGAGGTGACAGTTCCATGCTTACACTTGGGCTGGCCCCAACAGACACGCAGAGGGAGACACTGGTTATCAAACACAACACAACAAACAAAACCTGTAGCAACCTTTTAGGAGCATCAGGTGAAAAAGAGCAATAGTTTAGTAATGGTATTCCTCAGTGAGAACAGGTTCGCAGAAAAATCGAGAGCCACGCTTGGCGGTGCGCGCGGTAAAGGGCACGGTCTTCAGCACTGCGTTGAGAATGACAACCAAACAACACAAACAGAAGAGAGGAGAGAGCCAAGATCCACCGCATTAGTTCATGGTTAGTGCGTTGTTAATCACACTGGGGACAGAGGTGGGGAGGGCAGCCAGGAAACAGGGAACATAGTCTACTCAGTTCATGGACGTCTTGTTAAAGAGTTTTTTCTTTTTTCCAACCAAGGGCTTAGGAGTGGACCAGAAAATGGAAAAGGTTCAAAGGAGAATGAAAGCTTCTCCATAAGCTGATAGTCATTCACGTCTGGTAGTTGAACCATTTAGGTCAGGCACATTAGGAAATGGCCATCACATGCCTCTCATGAAGCCAGGTATCACTGAGACAGGTGACAGATGGTGAAAGAGAACGTCCCAGCCACATGCTTCCCTATCTACCCAGTTCATTTTCTGGTGATGCTGAGACTAACAGGTGCTTACCGAGGCCGGAGAGATGTTCCTGGTGTGGTTTATGGCAGAGTTCTCTCCCGGTATGGAGCAGGCAGGGACACAGGCTCAACACTGGGGGCTGTTACTGAGGGCCTCTGCAGGCCACTCAGAAACACCAATGGGCACACATGTATCCGGTGCCTGGCTCTGGGTGCCCATTCACCACTCACCTATTCCCCTAGTACTGGCACTGCTTCCATCTGAACACTTAATGACTCTGTTTTAAAAAAGAAATCTATCAATTGGTCTTATCTATTTGTCTTATTTATCTGTTTTCCTGGGTCAGAGTTAGTGAAAAATATGTGGTTTTCAACTCTCTACAGTACTGGCTGAACTACTGAATAAGAAGTGAAAAGATACAAATAAAAATTGATTTTTAAAAAATAAGACAACTACGGAAATGTAAATAGTATCTAATATTAAGAACTTATCATCTTGGATAACAAGTAAAAATGGTACTGTGGGCATATTTCGATATATTTTTGTTTTGGTTTGTGTTTTTCAAAGGTACAAAGTGAAGCATTTCCAAGTAGAAACACATGTACAGCATGTGCTGTGAAAGAGTCCCACTGAGGACCTGGGGGCTCCTCATACTCTTTTCTACACTCTTGTGCATTTTTAAAGAGTGAAGTATCTCAGAAGCTGGTAAACAGCATTCGTGTGCAACAGACACAAAAGAAAACTCATATGGTGCCGTAAGTCTTGCTAAAAGATTATGGCTGGGTGTTTTCCTCCTCATCTGGAAGGGGAAAACACAGCGATGAAGACTTGGTTCAAACACGAAACACTCGGCTGAAAGAGCTGTGCTGGGTTCAGCACACTTCCCAGCTAACGGAATGGTCAGTCTCCAACCCTGGGCTAGAAGCCCACTGGACCATTCAAACGAAGGGATCAGGCCCTGGCTTCCTTTTGATTGCAGTGACTCTGAATAAGTGAGCTGGTGACTCAGGAGCATGCTGGAAGAGCCTGCATGGTGGGTGGTTAGTACTGAGCTGACGAGGTCTTAGCTGCATTATTAATTTATCAGGCAGGTGGGTAGGAGGAAAATGGAGCATGATAACAAACTGAAAATAACAGAAAATCATTGGGAGAAACAGCACTGCTGAAATCCACAGGGTTCCAATGATACTAAGAGATACGACTTTTTTTCTAGAGTGCTGGGCCAGTAAGCATGCTCCTGTAATGTACTCTGACCCCTAGCATGGAGTGTCTGGGTATGAGGCTGGATCGGAACGAAGGTGCAATCTCAGCACAAACGATGTTGCCTGTGGCCCAGTCCATGTGAGGCTGGTGGAATCTCCACGAGCCACACCATGGAAACACACTTTACCTGTGATAATGTCTTCAATGGCACCGTCTTTTCCCTCGTACACATGTCTGTTATCTTTCACTTGCCGCCTTCTTAACTCTGCAATCAATTCTTGTTGCTGCCTCTTTGACTTATGGGAAGGAGACTGAGAAGAAAGGAGGACAGACATTAGTAGAGTCAGCAAGCCCCCACTGGCGATTTCAGCACACTCAAAATGTGTCTGAATACAATGTTCCTAATAAGCAGCCTCAGCCCAAGATCTCAGACGGCATGATCCCAACGCTCTGTCCTAACACAGACTCAGAAAGCTGCTGGGGAGAAGACCAAGATTCAGAAGAGACAAAACTCCAGTCAGCATCAAGGGGAAGGCTGGGTCCTACAGCCACAGCAGCAGCTGCTGACAAACACAGACCTGTTCTACTGTACTCAAAGGAAATGTGCACCTGCTAGCCTTGCCTGATGACACTATCCTTCCAGCAAGCCCTCCAGGCATCAAGGCCATTAGGAAAAAACAGCATGAACCCTTTGCCCCCCACTCTTCAAGTCACCTGCTAACATTTAGCCAGCTAACATTTTAGTTTCCAATCTATCAACTTAGAAATGTTACGTAAACATTCACTCAGCCTTATTCCAGTGGTAGTTTGAACAGTCACAGAGGAGCAGCTTCCCATTTGTTAAGCTTTTCAGTCTTGGACCCGGGCAGGTGGCCTTGCTGCCCTGCTTACTGCTTGCCCACACATGCTCCAGGGGCCTCTCCTTGCATGGGCACCCAGCACAGGAACAGGGCATAGTTTACCTTTGGGTCCTGTTGTTCCATCAGAGCTTCCTGCTCCAGGAGCTTCGCCATGAGAGCTTGTTCCTGCTTCTTCCTCAGCTCATTTTCCTCCTCTGCTTGCTAGGTCAATCAAAAGAACCAGAAAGATCACATCAGTGGAAATGACAGTAGTCAAGATTTTTCTAAGTCATTCTTTGAGAATATCTATAGTGAATCAGGAATTACAGGTAAATGCAAGATGGAGGAGACAGACCCATGCTATCCATATTTAATGCCATTGTCTATCCCACCATCTCCAAAGCTGCTCACTGACAATGCCCTCCCTGCACAAAATTCCCTTCCTAACGATCCTATGATCTTGGTGTCAGCCCCACAGGCCTGGGGACAGCTGGCCTGCTGGCACCTGTGCTCAATGACTTTCACGTGACTTTGTGTGGCTACCAGCATCTGTCTACCTGCCTCTAAGCTTTGCTAAAAGCAGAATGGACCAAGTCTTGCCCCCACCTCAACTGGTCTTTTGCCCAACTGTTGGGGGCAAATCTCCACTGCCCTGATCTCTTGTTACACTGTTATAGGAGGAGAAATGAAAGAGGCTAGAAAGATTTAAAAAAAAAGAAAGCAAGCCGAAAATACATATTATTTTGCACGCTTGATTTTCTAGCTGTAGATCAGAGTAGGCATTAGGAGGGGTGATGACAGATAAATAAACACTGAGGCTCTCTTTCAAAGCCAAACTCCCTGAAAGAGACTTCTACAAACTCTCAGACAGGTCACCTCTCTAAATTGGATTTGAAGTACAAGTTCACAGACAGATCCTTCAGCCTCAGAGATACACCTTCTGTCAGAAAGTTTGATCTCTGTTGCTTCTGTCTTCAATTTCATTTTAGATCATATTTGGGAAAGGAAAAGGGGAATATCATCCCCAAACCCCTGCCTCTTTCCATAAAGTGCCCATGTTGGTGGCATGAGGAAGACCTTTTATAATGTGGCTGCCTGCCAAGCAGCTCACTGAAGTGGCTCAGAAGGCCACCAGGGGAAGGGACACAGTGGAGGGAACACTTAGTGCACCATCTGCTCTGCTCAAAGCCTTGCTGAAGGCTGGAGTTTTGAGGCCAGCTCCAGGCATGACTCAGCTCATTGTAGTGGCATCTATTTCACATTTTGAACTCAGAATGCCACCTCTGTGGCTCAGCGCCGCCACCAGCTGCCAGCCAAGCACACTCTTGTCATTCCCAGCCTCCAGGGCCTTGTACACGGGAATTTTTGTGCTGTGTCTGTGCCCTCCCACTGTCAAGACACCTTCCTCCTGCCAGCAGCTTATGGGAGCCTTGCTACATTGTCTGCTCAGAGAAGATGGCTCAGTATTCTAACATTTGGTGTCTCAGGGGATCAGCCCCAGGGGTGACAGTAAAGTCTCCCATTTCCAATTAATTCCCCCCTAAAGTCCAGAAAATCCTGCTACATCCTTCAGCAAACACATCTTCCACTGCTGAGATCAATAGGAGACACAGCTAAGCCTCAAAAGTACAGACTGCGAAGTCTTCTAGGTGAGACAGAATCTTAATGCCTCCGCCCTTGTTACTCCTTCTCAAAGAGCAAGTTCTTTGGACACAGGCCTCTGGGTCAAACACTATTTCTAGCCTGTGGTCCTGGTTTTATCTGAGACAGCCTCCACTGGGACGGTATGTTACTGACCCAGGCAACAAACAGGGGCATCCACTCTTGACAGTGCTGCCCTCAGTGGACACTGGGACAGCCCTGGTCAGGGTCTTAGGGCGGGGCTAGGATCTGCTCTGAGGTTCCCTGCCCACAGTTCTCCATCTTTGCCATAAGGGTTCAGTACTTCTCACTAAACAATTCTATGAGAACACTGGATTTTCTAAGCCCCTTATCTGGTCTATGTGGATCAACACGAAGCAAGGGGTGCCAGGGGGCTTGGCTTGCAGTACCTCACTCCAGGAGGGGGCTGCTAAGAGCTTTTCTTTTTCTTGCTAGGGTCTGGGATCGGTCCAGTGGAGAGAAGGCCAACCTGCCCGAGGGCCCCAGAGCTCTCAGATTCCAGCACCCAGTCTTGCTGCCCTAGGCCGGCACCAGGTGGCCCAGGCCTCGGCAGCTGCGTCTCCAGGACGCTGTCTTCCTGATTACCTTATAAGCTTTCACAAAGCGAACAAAGACAGGAAAGAAGACGGAGGGTGGTGTTGTCTTGGGGTTCTCTCCAAAGTACTTAACCACATCGTCAAAGGCATCCTGTGAAGAAACACAATGCTCATGAACTTCATTCCAACACTTGAACTTGAAATTCCGGGAACAGTAGCCACTGCAAGCTACAACCTCTAGTGCCTGCTGCCTCCCCACATCCTCTTCAGACTGCATGGCACCCCACAGGTCCCATTAAAGGCACCCAGAGAGAGCAACAGCAAGACACAAGAATTCATCTGTAGCATCTCCTAACCCTTCTACAAACCAAACCCGTCCTTCCCACATACAGACATTAAATCTGGAGCCATTTCCTTTAAGAGTTTCCTTTCTTATAATCAGCAAGGTTAGAAGGAATCTCTGGAATCACATGAACTTCAAACCCACATTTCTAACTTCCAGGTACCCAAAATACACCCACATGGGAGCCACACAAATTGTTCAAGTCTCTAATAAAACTGTTCTGTGATAAAGGGCAGCCACAAATTAGAGACCAACTCCACAACGTCTACTTTCTGAGCTCCCCCAACATTTTGCTTCCTTTATATAACCATATGTAGTTCGCTGTTACACAGGTTTGTTTATGTGAGGTGACTTCAAAGAAGTAATGGAAAATTAAAAAAAAAAAGTGGAATAAAAACCTAAAATTGTATTTGCAACATAAACTCCATCTGTGTAAGACATTTGTGTAATGCTATCATTTAGTCCATCCTTATAGGACTGAAGATCTTGGTAATGTTACCACGACAACATAGTCTTTTTAAAATTAACTGGGGAAATAATGAGCGCCTGACACTTGTTGAATTGAATACAGGACCCATCCAGGAGGGAGTCTAAAGGCAGGCCAGGAGGGCTTCTACTGATGAGGATCATGATCCTAAACTGGAAAGCGACAGGAGCAGAACAATGCACTACCAAGGAAAACCACAGCGAACAGTCCACATTTAGTTAGCTCTGTCTGCATAGGAAATCCAACATTTCCTCCCCAAAGGAGCCTGCACCCCAGGGCTTCAAGGCATCCAGTGTCTTCCTCTCTGTGGATGTCGCCAGGTGGCAGCACTGACCTGGGCAATCTTGGCATCATCCTGCAGTTTCTTCAGCTTTCCCTCATGGTTGAGGATGAACTCCTTCAGCAGGGTGTTGTGGTCGTGCATCGTGTACTCCCGCTTGGTCAAGTCCATGCCCCTCTGGAGCTCCTTCACATCCAGCAAAACATTCTCGAGAGAGACTGAGGGAGAAAAGGCAGTGTCCCAGTGAGTGAGTCCCTTCCCAAGGGAAGCCAAGTTCTCAGGCAGTGGCTCCTAGGTTTACTCTTTCATGGAACTTACACCTGGTCTCTAGTTTTCACGCATAGACCCCTCAGCAAGAATAATCCACAAGCGTTCACTATGAAACACTATATTAAATTCTTCATAGGGACTAATTCATGAGTTTATTTTGCCAGTATGGCAAAGTAGCTTTAGAAGGTTCCACGTCCTGTCCTGGGTCATGTGGCTAACAGATGATAGAGAAAAAGTTCAGGTTGCAGCTAAGAAGTCCAAATTCATTTCTATCTAGGCACAGAAGGGCCTGTGATGAGTCCATGACAGCTTGTTCTGCAGCTCTCCAGCAGGTGGCAGCATCTTTCCTACTGCACTTTCATGGTACTGATGAAACAGCAACCTCAGATAGATGCTTTTTGTGAAACCACCCTCTCTGCTTCAGAAAGGCTTAGTAGGAGCCTTCCCAATGGCAGCATGGCTGCCTCTCAGGGTGAGCACCCTTCAGGAGCCTCCCTAGTCTGCCTCCCAACAGAAGTCAGGTAGAATGAGGCCAGACCTTGGACTCAATTCCACACAGGGATGAGCTATAAGAAAATGAAACACAGTCTTGCCCAGACTCACATTGTCTCATTTATCTTTGCTTCCCCAATACTTAGGACAGTGCCAACCACACAGAAGCCACTCAGAAGTGTTCCCTGTAGAAGTGAAAGACTGAAGACAGGGGAGAGGATGCAAAGAATGTGTGGTGGCCCACGAGCACAGCAAGGGGCCAGCAGAAAAACACCCACCCCGGAGCACCCTGATCTCCCCATTCCCCTGTCAATCTCTTTGTTCAAATAATACATTCTGGAAATTCTGCTTTGGACAAACAAAATGTGCTAATTACACTTAGAAAGATTGTAACTTTCATAACACTTTCTTAACTAGAATTACAATGCTTAAGAACTCTTAAGCAAAGGCAAATCTGAAAGAGCAGAAATTTTAACCACCTCACCAGCACTTAAGAGATCTCTCCTGGCCTATAAAATCATTTCCATCTGCCTCTCAGCCTCCGATAGGCTCTCAGCACTATCTACTCCAAGAACAATGCTGTCATTCCATTCATTTGTTCATTTGCTCATCCATTTATTGTCACCATCCAATTAGCCAAGGTCTGATAATTGTAAAGATAAATAAAGCAGGGCCAGATGCTGTGGAGCAGTGAATAAAACTGTTGCCTGTGACACTAGCATCTACTATGGGTGCTAAGACCTGGATGCTCTATTTCTGATCCAGTTGTCTGCTAAAGGCCTAGGAAAAGCAGCAGAAGCTAGGCCAAGTGGTTGGGCCCCTGCCATGTGCTAGGGGAGACATGGATGAAACTCCTGGCTCCAGCCAGGCTCAGCCACAGTTGTTGCAGCCATCTGGGGAGTGAATAAACAGATAGAAGACTCTCTTTCTCTGTCTCTCTCTCCCCTTCGCTGTAACTCTGACTTTCAAATAAATACTTTTTTAAAACAAGAAATGAACCTTACTATATCCTCATAAAGTACAGAGACTGCAATAGACATGCATGTTGTAATAGCAAAATGTGACAAATCATGTACTAAAGGGTCATAGGGAGCCCTCTTAGCCTGAGAAAAGCAGAGAAGGCTTCACCTTCGAACATCAGCTAAGTCTGGGGTAGACCTCAGGAAACTGATATACTAACAAATACTGGCTGCTATGATTCAGGATCATAATCTGAAAAATCACAGCGTGTAAGTAACTCTAAAAGCAGTATGCATGCCCTTACTTTTTCTAGCATTCTGGTAAAAGGACATGAGTATATCAGATGATAGACTAGCCAGAAAAACAGCTGGGGTTCCAGTCTTGTTTCGAACACTTTCCACTCACAGACCCTTAGGCTAACCTCTGAAATTCAAATTTCCTCATTTATACCCAGCGATCTTATTTCCTATGCATCCCAGGTATCTCAGAGTCACCAGTGATTGAAATCAGAAAATGCAGAAGTGCTGGCAATTTGGTGACAAGGCAAAGGCACACGGTTAGAATGGCACCATGCCAGCTAGGGTGGTGGGACGCAGGCAAACTAAACATGCTTCTTTGACTGGGTAAGTCTCACATACACATTTTCTATTTGAGACAACAGCAACAGAAAAGCAGGGTGAGGAATGGGAGACTTCAAGGCTTGGATCTTCTCAGAGATCACTTCCTGCCCACACTCACAGCCACTGTCAGGTGTGAATACTGCCATGGCTATGTGTTCTAGACCAGAGCTTCTGCCTTGCCAGCCTTGCCTCTTAGATGGGTTCTGAAGAGTGTTGGCCTTAGGAGGGGCCAACTGCCCGATGCTAGACCCATCCACAACCCCAGGGTGGCATTAGCAGCTACAATCAGGTACCTGCAGCAGCTTTTTCTACATAATGCAGTTCATTATAAAACAGGGACACCTGGTGATATTTTTCTTTTACAACATTCGATATGTAGTGCAGCAGTGTTTGTTTCCGGTCTGTGGACTTGGTGTCTAAGAGCTGAAAAGAAAAGGTAGCATAGTTAGGTCCAAACAGGAAAAATAACAGGAGACTTATCCATCACGTGCTGATTTCCCACGCAAGAGTACATAAGTGAGCACAGCTCTCCAACAGGCTCACAAAGATACATCCCAGAAGAGCATTCAAGGTTCAAAGTGTCGGGCCTGGCCCAGTAGCCTAGTGACAAAAGTCCTTGCCTTGCACATACCAGGATCCCATGTGGGCACCAGTTCATGTTCCTGTGGTCCCACTTCCCATCCAGTGCTTGCAGCCTGGGAGGGCAGTCGAGGACGGCCCAAAGCTTTCGGACCCTACACCACTTGGAGAGTGAGTCAGCTGATGGAGGATTTTCCTCTCTGTCTCTCCTCCTCTCTGTGTATCTACTTTTCCAACAAAAATAAATAAATCTTACAAAAAGAGAGAGAATTGTATCTTAAAAAAAAAAAAAAGATGCAAAGTGTCCTCTGTTGAGTCCCAAAGATTCCCTGACCAGGGGATGTGTCAACTATGGGGATGAATGGAAGCCACAAGGGTTTCATCGCTCCTCATAGGAAGTCTCTGCCTCTGCTAGTCCACCTGCCCTGGTTTAAAAGCAGGAAGGTTCCAGCTGTCATGTTCTTCATAGCTAAGGGCCAGAGTGGAGGTGACAGGTGGGGCGCTCAGGTGTGTGCAGGCAGCCCTCCAGCAGGGCTGGTGTACTGCAGCTATTACTCTCAGCTCCACTTCTCATTCTGCAGCCTCAAATGTCCCACAGACAGCTGGCCTTCTGTAGACAACAGTTCTACCTCCAATGAGCTCAATCATCCACAGAGAGAAAATATTTTTTTCAATCACACTACAGTGAACATGAATAGATTTTTTTTCTCCTGTCATGCCCTAAATAATGTAGTATAGCAAACATTAACAAAGCACTGACATTATGGAAGTATTATAGGTCATCCAGGGAGCATTCAAAGAATACAGGAGGAGAGGAGGTGTTGTGTGACAGTTAGGTCAAGGCTTCGGATTGCAGCTTCCTGCTTATGCAGCTAGAAGGCAGCGGATGAGGAACCCCGGCCTCACCTTGGCTGCTACAGCCACTTGGGGAGAGAACCAGCAAATGAAACATCTTTCTGTCCTTCCCTCCCTCCTTCTCTGCCACTCCGCCTTTCAAATGAAGAAGGTGGTGCAGCCAAGAACTTGAGCCAGTGCGCACAGGCAGGCAGCACAGTGGCACGGTTTAATTTACTGAGCCACAATGCCAGCCTCATGAATGACAATCTTTAAAAAACAACACACACAAAAGAGGGGTATAGGAGGATATTTGTAGATTACACACAAATAGTACATCATTTCACAGAAGGGATCTCGGCATCTTTAGATTTCAGTCTACTCCGGGCAGGGCAGGACTGCAGCCAGTGCCCAGAAGGACGGAGAACTGTGACTGATTAGATGCTCCCATCAGATAATCATATCAACTATCTCTCCCTGCCTGAAGACTCACCCACTGCCCAACCTTCTCACATGTAAGCCACAATAAGTCACACAGAGGGATTCAGTGAGAAGTTTCTCTATCCCTATTCATATGGGTGTCTGAATGGGAGAGCATTATTTATCATGCAGTCAAAAAACATATGTGCATATGTTTTTAGAAAGTATGGAAAATGGTCCAGTGTGGTGGCATCGCAAGCTAATCCTCCCTCTGTGGTGCATACACCCCCCCACATGAAAGCCAGTTCTAGCCTAGGCTTCCAATAGCCTAGGAAAGCAGCAGAGGATGGCCCAGGTCTTTGGGACCCTGTACCATGTGGGACACCTGGCTTTCATCTTCAGATTAGCCTATTTAGGCAGAGAACCAACAGATGAAAGATGGTCTCTGTCTTTCCCTCACTTTCTCTCTATAACTCTTTGAAGCAAAAAAAAATTAACACAAGAAATGTGAAATAAGGATAATCTTTTTTTTAAAGGAAGTCTGAAAAAAAATCACCTAATTGCCAATGACTTCTGTTGCAATTTTAACTCACTTCCATTCATTCTCTTTTTTGCTGCCCACATTACTAACCTGAAATTAAACCATCCCTGCAGTTCATACTAACTTCTTTTCTATACATGGAATCATCTATTTTTTTTAAAAATAATTCTTTGTAATTATTTTTTTAAAGATTTATTTTTATTATTTTTTTTATTGGAAAGGTGGATATACAGAGAGGAGAGACAGAGAGGAAGATCTTCTGTCCGATGATTCACTCCCCAAGTGAGCGCAACGGCCGATACTATGCCGATCCAAAGCCAGGAGCCTCTTTCGGGTCTCCCACGAGGGTGCAGGTTCCCAAAGCTTTGGGCCATCCTCGACTGCTTTCCCAGGCCACAGGCAGGGAACTGGAAGGGAAGTGGGGCTGCTGGGATAGAACCGGCGCCCATATGGGATCCCAGGCCTGCAAGGTGAGGACCTTAACCACTTGCGCCACTGCGCCGGGCCCTCTTTGTAATTATTTTAATAGCTGAACAGAAGTTCACTGTATTAAGTATTCTTTTTGTGTTTTTAAATTTATTTTATTTTTATTGGAAAGTCAGATTCACAGAATGAAGGAGAGACAAAGATCTTACATCTGCTGGATCATCCCCCAGCTAGCTGCAGCAGCATAAGGCCAGGAGCCAGGAGCCTCTTTCTCCGGGTCTCCCACGTGGGTGCAGGGTCCCCAGGCTTTGGGCCATCCTCCACTGTTTTCCCAGGCCACAAAGCAGGGAACTGATTGGGAAGTGGAGCAGCCAGAACACTAACCAGTGCCCATATATGATCCCAGCTACACAAAGCAAGGACTTTTGCCACTAGGCTACCGTGCCTAGTGGGTATTAACTATTCTTAAGATCTTCTGATTGTTGCCAATTATGTACAGCTATAAATAAACCATGGTGCTCACAATTCATATTTAATTCACACACCTGAGAAATGATTCCTAGAAAGGGATAAACCACAGTTGGAAGTGCTCACAGCCAAGTGATAGACCAATCCTCTTGGACATCACTGCAGAGAATCTTCAACACATCCACCTTCCGCTTCCAAGAGCAGGCCCACCCCCACTCCCACTGTCACGTTCTACAGCTATTTGTGTTGTAACTGTCAGTCCCCACAGTTATCGGAGCCCACTCACCAAATCTAAACTCTGAAGTTTAAATCCATAAACTGCTCCTCGTTTACTGCTATTCATGTAGTTTCCAAGTGCCAAGATGATCTACAAAAGATAGAACATGAGTTCAGCAGCAAGGCCCAGGCAAGCAGCAGACACGCGAGCTGCTCACACATAAATACCAACAACCAGGCCCAAGCACATAATGGGCATGTGGGCTGTTCACACACATGTACCAGTGTTCTAGGTCCAGGCCTAGGCCCAGGCATACAGTGGACATGCGGGCTGGTTACACATATGCACCAGTGGCTCAGGTCCAGGCACACAGTGGACATGCATGCTGCTCACACACATACTCAAGCAGAACTCCACTTGCCTCCAGAATCTTCTTGAGTTTCTGAGATGATTTGATAGACACCGACGCTGCTATGACTGCATGCAGTTGCTGGAGCCCAGTGAAAAGAAGAAAGAGGGGAGAAAAACAGACATTAAATATAGGAAACTGACTGCAGACTGCGGATTAACACGGCAGAAAACAGGCCCGAGTTTAGACCTCTGTTTCTCCTCAGCCTGACAAGTGTGGTCATCTTGCCGGGTCTCCAGCAACCATTTGGTGATGAGTAAACTTGGCAATAACAAGTAACACAGCAACTTGCTTATCGTAACAGCTGCAACCAATCTACAAGGGCGGGGAGGCGGCAGCCTCTTTCCCCAGAACTTACTCCCCTCCCAGCTATCTCTGTTCAAGAAGGAGTAACAAACAAACAAGGAAGCAAAGAGCTCTAACGCTCCCTGTAGTCTTTAATATATGTTTAGAACAGATGTGATCCCATCATCAGCAACTAACCGAAGTTAACTTTGAAAATAGGGAAAGAACCAAGGTTTGTGATACCCCTAACTGTCCACCAGACTAACACAAGCAAGCCTGTTACTCTACATGACCGCAGTCTACTACAGCAAAAATATATCCAAGGGAAGAAAACTGCGGTGAACTGTGATGTTTCCCATGGAAGCCCACCCAAAAATCCTTATTTCTACAAAGAATCATTTACAGAAAGGAAGACATTTTCAGTCTTATCCTCAACCCTCTCAAGGGCTGGGATTTTCCAGGAGGGGGACAAACTTGTGAAGGTGGGTTTCCTTGTCCTCTGGGATCAAATGCCCTTGGAAATCCAGAGGAATCTGCAGACACAGAAAACAGCATTCTCTTGGGAGAAGAATAAGATGGAATATGGTGACACACTATTTTAAAATGTACTTCATAGAATCCAATGTAAAACTCAGGGCTAGAATAAAGAATACAATCCAGAAAATTTTGGGAAGGAGTCTGCAAAGCCTGCAATACTTACTGCAATTCTGGGAGATAATTAAAAAAAAAAATTCTCCATCTTTCTGGACTCCTCTCCTACTAGAAATGGTCCACTTACAGGTGTCAGCATTTGGATGCTCTCAGCGAAGTTCCCAATAAAGGCCATGATGGTCATCTTCTGCATGAGCCTCTCAATTTTACTGAATTGCATCATGAACCGGTCTTCATCTGACAAGTTCTCTAAGGGCTTCCGTTCCCGCTCGTAGAGCCGCAGCACTTTCACCTCATTCTCGGTCGGCAAGAACCTCATTAAACATTCTACAAAGTCTACAGGCAACGTCTTCAAGTCAAATCTGAAGGCACATGTGCACAGATTGGTGTTAGAGAGGAAACCTTTTTTTTTAAAAAAAAGATTTATCTTTTTATTATTATTATTGGAAAGGGAGAGAGATACAGAAAGATCTTCTGTCTGCAAGTTCACTCCCCAAATGGTTGCAACAGCCAAAGCTAAGCAGATCCGAAGCCAGGAGTTTCTTCTGGGTCTCCCACATGGGTGCAGGGTCCCAAGATTTTGGCCATCTGTTTCCCCAGGTCACAAGCAGGGAGCTGGATAGGAAGTGGAACAGCTAAGACATAAACCAGGGGCCATATAGGATCCCAGGGCATGTAAGGTGAGGATTGAGTCACTACACTATTGTTCTGGGCCCAGAGGGAAAACCTTCGACACCCCTCTATACCCTCTCTGTCTGGTCCCACTCATCACTGCCCAGCTGACAACTCTAAGCTCCTGCAGCCGAACAATGGAGGCCCAGTCTTGGAGCTGGTTCCTGACGGTTCATTGGATACCTTTCCTGGTCTTTCCCTAAAACCTGGGCATTACTACAGCTTTCGGCCTCGGTTTTAGGCCCCTAGCACAGCTCCAAGCCTTTAGCAATTAACAGTAAATGACTACTGAAAAAGGATAAATGAAGGCTGAAATACACTGGTTCCAGGACTCAGTTTTTAGGCATTGGAAGACACTGCTTATTAGGAACATTAGTACTGCACACAGAAACACAGAGTACCCAGTGAACCCTTATAAAATATTTCAATTATGCTAACAGTTTGCAGTAAAAATTTTTTTTTGAAGCAAAACACTCAAGAGAGGCTGGCACAATAGCTCAACAAGCTAATTCTCTACTTGCAGTGCTGGCATCTCATAAAGGTGCCAGTTCATATCCTGGCTGTTCCACTTCCCGCCCAGCTCCTTGCTTGTGGCTTGGAGAAGCAGTGGAGGATGTCCAAAACCTTGAGATCCTGCACCAGTGTAGGAGACCCACAAAGATGCTCCTGGCTTCAGATCAGCTTGGCTCCAGGCATTTGTGGAGTGAACCAGCAGGTGGAAGCTTTTTTTTCTTTGTCTTTCCTTTTTTCTGTAAAGCTGCCTTTCCAATGAAAGTAAATAAATCTTTAAAACAAACAAACAAAAAACACACAACTGTCTATACTGCGTGGATGGTTTACCCAAGTACACAAGTTCCTTGAAGAAATATCAGGTTTTTGTAGAAATGTGCTCAGTATGAAGAGATGAAGTATTTGCTACAACCTTTATTTCTATCTAATTTAAGGGTGACCTCTGTTCAACAAGTAACAGAATTACACTTAATAATCATGATTAATATTAAGTTCAGGAACTAGACCATGTATGGGGGTTCAACATTAGAGATCACAACAGACTGTAGGAGGCACTACAGACTATTAGATTTTGACTCTGGTTGAAGACACACAATTGGAACAAATCATCTGTCAGGGCCAACCACTCCAGGAATCTGATCAAAATTCGTAAGATATTAATTTACGAAGAGTTAGTGCTAAAAACATTCAATAACATCCCTACCACATTTGAAAGTTACTATGACCACAAGAATAGTAGAAAGATTGTCCCAACAGAAAAGTAAATAAAATCAAAGCCTTCAAGAGTTTAAAATGAACTTTGTTTAAAATATCCTGGCACTATGGAGAGCAAGAGAATTCATTTCCATTGCTATGAATTAAGACACGCATCTGTATTGTATTTACATCTGGCACTGAACTGCATCATTCTTCAAATGCCACAAAATTTGTGTTCAATAAACATGGATAAAATCCAGATACTCTAGAGGAAACTGACATTTTTCTCCCTTTTCTTAACATCTGCAATACTCTGCTCCATTTTCCTTTCATGTAAGCGTTGCTGTGGGCCTGCACAAGAGAGCAGACCAAGATAACAAATGATGTCACAATCCAGATGTTATTTCTTTGGAATAATTAATTAGGCATTTGAATAGAGCCATCCCTGGGGACATTCCAGTACACCTCGTTGGGGCCAGCTTCTTCCTCACCTTAGGTGCTATGGAGCCTGTATGCAGTAGTGGCACTCTGTTGAATGTGGAGACCACAAGTGGCTCCATATTTTTTTTTCTTTTTTAAATCTCAGATCTTGCCCATTAAAGTATTTGCCACTAATTCATAATTTTGTCATTTTCATTTTTATCCCAACCACACCAGGGCATAATTTCACAGAAATTCCTGAACTTACACATGAATAGCTTTACAGATCTCATCAGCAGTCTTTCCTGCTTTCCTTAAAGTTATTGCAAGATTTTTGGCCCTATTTGCTTCTAGCAATGTCACTTTGTTTGATCCCTTCTGTGGTATCTTCTGTTTGCTTGAAGACAAATCGATGGCAGGACCTTGAGCTTTTGTCTTGAATATTTCCTCAAATTCATCCACATTTAAATCCTAGGGAGGAGACAGAGGATTTTGGCCAAATTCTACTTAAAAAGTAAATCAGAAAGCTACCATGAACGGCTTCATAAGTAATACCCTTAATTGTTCTATCCAATTTATGTGTTTGGTCATGACTTGTCTGTTTTTGCTTGAGTGCAACTTCTTACACATAAACAGAAGTGAACACCTCAAGTGCACTGACTCCAACAGCCTATTACAGTGCCTTTTAATAACTAACTTGTATGGGCAGCTGCCACAGACTAAAACTTTCCACCAAACAAGACTGAGTGTAATCATCAGGCATTTATTCACTTATAGTTCAATTAAAGGACATTATAAATGAAGAGATTTTGTCAGACATAAATGAGGATACTTTGGCAGATTTGGGGGATAAAATGGAACTAACAGCTAAGTTTATTTTGGTCAAAAAAATAGTGAAATCACATGCAAGTTTTTTGCATACTAATTATTTTTGCCCATCTGTCACATTTATTGTTTCAAGGTCACCTAGGTCAAGTCACAAAAATATGGAACGCTTCACAAATCTGCATGTCATCCTTGCGCAGGGGCCATGCTAATCTTCTCTGTATCATTCCAATTTTAGTGTATGTGCTGCCGAAGCAAGCACTGCATACTAATTTTCAATGAACTTTGAAGACTCCTTGCATTTTGTAGTATACACTGAAGAGGCTCAAAACTATTTACTCTAGTTTGAAAGACAATTCAGAATCACCTTCCACAACAGTGTCCTATTTTATTCTTCACTATAATCCATCACTTTTTTTCCTTTCTATGCAGCCCGTTTAGTATTTTATCACACGAAACCTGCAGGTTTTCAGAGCCTCCACCATGGCTTTGCTGCACAGACAGGGTCCTTAGTTTCTAACCAAGGAGAAAGATACCTCCAGAATTCGCTCATCATCAATTTCATTGAAGACGGTGCCATTGATCTGATTGGGCTTCAGGGCAACCCAGTTAAACACCGGCATTCTGAACTTCGTCTTGATTGGCTTCTTAATTTTCACAGCTAAGAATATCAGAGAATGAAATTATAATCCCATCAAGACCCTGCAACCCTCAGGAACAATCAGACCACAGTCCTTGCAGATGACACTTCAACACTGGAGGAAGACTGGCAAGGGGCACCCTCATGTTTACAAAGACTGAAAAATGCACATGGTCTTAGCCTGAGCCATCAGAAGCTATCATTAACAAAATGTTAAAAACTTCCTAAGAGACAGGGGCTATTTTTTTTTTAATTCAAGTAATTGGACTGTTACCTTCCAGTTAACAAAATACTAAGACAATATTAAAGCATTGCTGGGGAGTAACAATCATTATGAATATATTGGAAGACCAGAAATGGCAGATGTCAAATTTTGACATGCCAAGCTCTTGCTTGTGCAACACAAGTCTTTAAAATGATTAGAGCCTGAAGACAGGGGCCGCCTAAAACCATGAGGAATGTGACGTCAAGAGCACTGAGTTTCAGCCAGGGAAATACATTCCTGTGCATGATTTTGACAACGGAGATTACACTGGCTGCTGAGTTTTTTCAAACAGACTAAATTAGAAAAATGTTTGCGTTGACAGAGGGGCACTTGGAAGATCTGGAAATGATTTGGCTTTGTAGGAAGGGCCACAGTTGCTGGCCCTTCTTCCAGCTGGATCTGAGTAGGAGGAATCAGCGAATCCAGTAAAAGCATAACAAACCTCTCCACAGAGAGCATGGGGTCTACTGGGGAGTGCCAACTCCTTCGACAGGCAACTCAGTGAAAATTCTGCTTAGGAATCAATTACAACAAAGTCTTTGTCTTCTCAAGCCACTGAGATTAAAGCATCATCCATCCCTGCCTGTCCACCACCTTATTTGGGAGCTTCCCTATGAGGCCGGCCTTCTGGCCAAGTAGGCTAAACTTCTGTGCTATTAACCGCTGATAGCAAGAGAGGGAGCACCTGAGTGCTTCTATGTAAAAGACTAAGCAACTCTCATGGCTGAATTCTTATCTGCCTGCCTGTCTTCCCGCCTCAGTGGGTGGGAACTGAGAAAGGGAGACGAACAGTGCCTCTCATTCCTCCAGAGTTACCAAGGTCAAAGGGACAGGTGACATCATCTGAAGAATTCACACAGAAGCATGCAGGAACACAAAGACACAGCTTTTGCCAAACCAGCCACTTCTAGCACCCAAGGGAACCACTGCTTCCTCACTTCCCAAGAGGATGGCTTTCTGGCCACACTGCATTCTTGTCTGTGCTATCCAGGAAAGCCAAGGTGCTGCTCTGTATGGGATGAAAGGACAGATCTTCCTTGTGAATGAAACTTGCAGCAGTGCTGGGGATATGGGGGAGCAGGGGACGGGCTATGGAGGAGCTTTGCATCCTGTGTGAAGTGTGGCAGGGGAGGCCTTTTGTTTGTGAACTTCCCTGCACAGATACTACAGGCCCAATGCTCACCAACAGTCACTCCCTTACAGTCACCCTTCAGATTTGGAAGGCCTGCGGGCCGAGCACAGGTACTGACATTCTGCTTGGAACAGTTCCCCTGACTCTGACTGGGGCATGGAGGGCAGTGAAGACCACAGAAACAGGTATCTGCTCCACACTGCCTCCTCAGGGCTCAGGTATAACCAAGTGGACACTGCACAGTGTTAGCCAGACACCAGCAGGCAAGGACTGGAAATGGGACAGCCAGAGTTCTGCCTTGTTCTGTGCCCCTAGAATCAGTCTAAAATTTTAGATGGAAGCCTCTTGGTTTCAATTGTGAGATTTTAAACCAAAAGGAGAGAAAAATAAGAACCCCACCCCCAACCATAATCGGTTCTTTCCTCAGAGGGCAAGGACTGTGGCACAGGAATCCAGGCCATCTGCTCCAAGGACAAGCATCCCTTCTCCAGGTACAGCTATAATGTGGGGACACACCTGGAGGAAAAGTCAGCCCACACCCAGACGCCCCGCAGACACAAAGTCCAAATGCAATGGATCGAAGGCAGATGGGGTGAAAAGATGTCAAGGCATGGTGTGACCAACACAAGGCAAATACCCGACACACTCAGTGAGGAGCAACCTACAGAAAAGCTTGATGGGCCCATCTTTTTGTGGAAGCAGAAAGAATAGAGAAAATAAAAAAAAATTAGATATGGTTAGAGTCAAGTGACCCAGCAGTTCACGCAGTGGCAGCACAGATTCTCATGCTTCTTTGACATGTTTCACAAAGCAGCACAGAGACAAAAACTCATTCCCATTCAGGACTGCCTTGAAGACTCACTTTTATTGAGTTTTTAGAAAAATCTTTTTTTTTTTTTTACAAGAAAGGAAGAAAAGCTTTTCTAAGAGTGGTCCCAAGGAGCCATACTGAACTGTGCGCTAGCAATACAACCATTTTATAAATAAATTCACTAAGGTCCACATTCTCATTGTAAAGAAGCAAGCCATCCTCCTAATAAGGACAGCAGAGGGTCCAGACTGTCTGGCAGATTGGCACAGGTGTCTGATGCCAGGAAAGAGAGCCAGGCTGTTCTATGCAGATCTGAGGATGGAAGTATTCTACTTCACATATAGCTAAGTTCACACTACCGGTCTTTCTAAAACACAAGCTTTCCACCAGGTAGTTACGGGGACCATTATGTGGTTCCCTGCCTGGGCCACCATTAACACATTTGCTCATTGCCTACTCAAGAGATGGGACATCCTGTTGTCTGCAAATCCCACAGTGTAGAGATGTGACAAGTTTCTGGCTTCCCAGGAGCCCTAAGGCCAACTCACAGATCTTAGTTTCTTGGTTCTGCTGGAACATCCTGACTATGTCTAGCCTCTTAGTTCCAAAGAGAGAGAAACAACACACTGGCAAAACATTCCACAAAATGGGCTTCCTTCACAAGCACTCACTGCCAAAACGATGGTGAGCAGTGAAGACAGATGAAAACTTTGGTGGGAGCCACCAGATCTCAACTTGTTAAAGGCTTATAGCATCTTGTAATTCTTACATAAACATACTTCAAGAAGTTTGTGGAAAATTAAATTGGATGATAAGCTTAACTGGGTGACAAAAGTTTTGAAAGGAATGTAGATTTTTTTAAAAAGAGACATTTTATGTGAACTTTCTGAAGTCCTCCTGAGTTTAGTAAAAGATGTTATTTCTTGGGGCTGGCACTGTGGCGTAACAGCTCATCATCCACCTGCAGTGCCAGCATTCCACATGGGTACTGGTTCTATTCCTGGTTGTTCCACTTTCAATATAACTCCCTGATTATGGCCTGGGAAGGCAGTAAAGGAGAGCCCAAGTCTTTGACCCCTTGCATTCATGAGGGAGACTTGGAAAAGCTCCTATTTCCTAGCTTTGGACCATCCCAGCTCTGGCCAATGTAGCAATTTGGGGAGTTAACCAGTGGATGGAAGATTGATTTCCCTGTCTTTCCTTCTCTGTAACTCTGCCTTTCAAACAAAGATAAATTTGTTTTTAAGGGATTTCTTGTACTCATTTGCTGCACATTCCTGGAATTAAAGAGAAGTCTCTTGCATGCTATCTGTATATGATCTCTAACCGGAGGAAGACTCAGCTTGCAACAGCAGCAGCCATGAAGGCAGCTGTCAGCTACCAGCTGAGCATCCAGCTCCATATCCTCATGCTGGGTGAAGGCAAGTGACCAGTAATTAAAATGCAGTTAGGATCCCCTCATCCTATGTCAGAATGCCTGGGTTGAATACCTGATTAAGGCTCCTGATTCCAGCTTCCTGCTAATGTGGACTCTGCCTCCCAGGCTTCAGCAGCTGGGTTCCTGCCACCCACGTGCAAGACCTGGATTGAGTTCCTGGCTCCTAGCTTTGGTCCCCTGGCCTCTCTAGGCAATTTAGGGAGTAAACCACTAGATGGGAGATCTCTTGCAAGCTTGTTGCTCTCCATCTTTCAAATAAAAGCATTTAAAAAATATATGCAACTTTATGTAACTACACATATATACTATATATAACTTAAAAATTAGACATGATGGGCCCCTGTGTATGACAACCTCTTGACCCTTTGGTCTGCCAAGGCAGCTCCGAGTTTCACGTTAGCGCTCAGGTGAGTGGAAGCAGGTGCTGAATCACACATCAGCTCTTGCCAGACAGGAAGAAAGCAGTACCCAGGGAGGCATCACAGCAGTCACATGTCACAGCCCAACCAGGGCTACACGGGAAGCCTGAGCAGGTAGGCCAGGTGTGCAGGACAACCGGGGCCCTCCACGCTCAGCCACCAAGAGCAGCCGGGTGAGGGATGGGCTCCCCAGGCCCGCTGTGACATGGTTTCTTTACATTCCACCATCCAACAGTTTCACCAGAGTTCTCCAACTTTTCTCCTTCAGAAGCAATAAAAGTTCCAGAAGAAAGTGGTTGAGAGGGAGGACCTTGAAGGGTATAAATAAGCCATTGATTTACTGTGAACATTATGTTGAATAGACACCTTATTCGTTCCCCTGACAGCTTTGTAGAAATGGGAGTGAGGCACCATCAGGGATTTGATATGGAATAAGTGTGTTAATGGCCCCAAGGTCTCAAATCACCAGGAGGAATCAGCTCTAATTCCTGATAAGACCCTTGAAGGGATGAAAATTATGAAATCTTTCTGAGCTAACACTGTGTCTAGAACTTTAAGCAAAAGCCTCCAACAACCACTGTAGCCTAGCAAATGGTGGCACTCAGGGAGATTCTTCATGGGAAATGAGAGTTATATATTTCAACTACAGTCATCAAAGAAACAGATTTACTTATGTAACTTGGATAGCCAAGCTCGTAGCAATTGCAAATGGCAAAGGAATTATCTCTGACTGGGCCACGGCTTGTCATATCGTAGAAAGGGCCAACATTCCCAAAGGGAACACTTGAATTTCAAGGCATTACAGCAACTCTCTTAACCTCCCTGGATGCCCCACGCACCCTACCCTGAGCTGAGGATGTTGCTCCTGGTTTAACAGGAGACTGTGAATTTGAGAGGATTTCAAGGTCAAGGGGAGAATACTGTTGGCAGCACTTCCTTGTGAAGCTTAAGTTTACCCTAGCAAAGTCAGATGTTGTCAGATGCTCAGAAGACATGCTTGGAAGCCTACATTGGACAATTTCCCAGAAAGATACTGTCCCCTTAAAATTTCTACCCAAACAACCTCTAATGAAAGAGAAAGAGAGCCAGAAGCACTCAGTATCTGTGCCTATTCAGAAGACTACAATAGGTGTCAATGAGGCATTTGCTGGAGCCACCCATCCACACTGATTCTGAAGGAAGTCCCAGGTCAGATTAGGCAGGAGAGATCAGAACTTTCCCCTGGGAGGCTGCAACAAAAGTTTCCCCGGCCAACATCCCCTTCCCTGGCTATACTGACCTGAGTGTTCCTACACCTAGAGGAGGTTCATGTCCTTGCAAGATATTGGGACTTCAGAGATCTGCTTTAACTCTCCAGGGCCTGGACAAATGAAGATTTCTTACCCGAGAACCTGGGTATTAGTTCTGTGCTCTTACCTGCTAATCCTGAGTTGAAAACCACTGTAGGTGAAGATGTTCCTGGAAGCGGGGGTGCAGAGGGAGGAGGGGGTGGCGGCAAAGGTGGACCTGGCACAGTCTCAGCTGCAGGACCCGGGAGAGGAGGGGGTGGAGGAGGAGGGGGAGGAGGTGGGGGAGGGGGAGGTGGTGGCATTGGTGGCGTGACAGGACCATTTTGCACTAGCAAGGAGAGAAGAAACAAATTGAGAATACAGGAATAGTTTTCTGGCAATATGTCATGTGCTTATAAAGTATCCAAAGACAAAACACCTACAAGGATAACGAGTTGCTTTCAAAAACATATACAATTTCCTATAGGCTATTGGGAAAAAGACTGCAACATTTGCAAACTGAAGACTGATGACTTTGATCTCAAAATATAAATAGTTCTTAAAATCAGAAAGCAAAGAACAGTCAAAACCACACGAGGTCAACAGAGAGAGACAACGTCCCAAATACTGCCCAGGTGTCCTAAGGCAAGTTTCCTCACCTGCTTCAGGTGTGTCTGACGATGGAGGTAGTGGTGGAGGAGGAGGTGGCAAGGGTCCAGAGGAAGTGGCCCCCATAACTGGGCCTACAAAACTACCCACTCCTGCTTCGGACCCTGCAGACAATGTGCCAGAAGCCACAACTGGCAGAATGGCGATGTCTCCATCCCCTTTCTTCTGAATTTTAATGGTCCCTTGTTTTTCCAGTTCATGGATCTTTTTTTCCAGGGTAGACTGTCTCTGAATGGCTTCTTCTTTTTCTTTGACCATTTTTCTTAATGTGTGAACTTGGGTATTTGCATCTTTGTAGATTTCCTGTAAAAGAGTCTATGGTCAAGGGTTCATCTTCACAGGGCATTCAAATTCATTATCATCAGACTGGCCTATTGAGGATAAAGAAATAACACTAGAAAATAGAGAAGGAACATACACATGAACAGGAATTCTATGGAACTCAGCTAGAATGGGTAAGATCCCATTAAATAACACTAATTATGCCAATAATGCATGCAATAAATTCCAGTAATTTTACTGTTAAAGAAATCCTTTCTATTTCATAACTGCAGCTAACTTAACTCTGCCTGCAGGCAGAAGCAAACGAGGCAGAGAGCTCCAAAAGCCAGCTTGGGACTATGTGGGGCACACTTTGGTGGTGCAGAATGTCTTGGTTTAAAATCCATTTTGTGACTCCTACATCTGTGCATCAGCTAACAGCAGACAGGAGGTCGCTTGGTCAGACTTGGACAGAAGTCAGAGCAGGATTACAAATCTGCAAGCCCCAGGACATCACATTCATCAGTCACCGGGGCTGGCTGACCTTGAATGGTCGGCTCTGGCCTGTTCATAAAGCCTCTCTAACTGCGTTCAGGGTAGAGATCATGACATTGTCCCTCTGGTAATGCCATCAACAAAACAGGCCAAAGCTTCCCTCCACGAACGATTTAGTTCTGCCTAGGTTTTTGGCAGAAAACAAAGAAGCCACCATTTCCAATTCAAAGGCTGTCCTGGTTCCTTTTACAGGGGACGCATCGAGGTTCCAGGAAAGGGATTTACGGAACTGAACATACTTGCTGTGCCTTCTATACAGATCTCTTCCCACAGCCTGCAGCAGGCAGAGCAACATTCTTCACACCCTGTCTACTATTAATAAACTCAGAGTCTGAACCTGAATTGAGTCCATATGCTACAACTTGGTCTCAATAAGTGTGCCAGAAAATAAATTTCCTCAAGTTAACGGCAGGACATATCAGAGGATCAAGCAACACACACACTCATGACAAGCCTCACATAAAATGTGTCATTTCGTTCACAGTGGTGCAAGGGTCAGCCATTTGCCTGTAAGCCCTCCTGGCAGGCATTTTGGTGTTTTATGTTCTGGACAATTCCAACCACATGGACGGCACTCCATAAATACCTGACATGTAAGGGAAAATACCACCAAGGCCAAATAAAACAGCTGGAATTATCTGATAATAAAACGGATTGGTTTTGCTTTGCCTTCCCCCAACAACTGCCTACTTTTTTTGGTGAATGCCATTAGGTACATCCAGTGTTGTGATTTCCCTGTTTCCACAGCAACCACCAAATCTGGATGTAAAAAGAAGCAAGGCAAAGGAATACAACAAAGCCCAAATCCCAACATAAATGAGTGGTGTGAATTAAACCTTGCTGTGTTTTCATTTCCAACCGAATGTGCAATCCACAGAAGCAGCCCAGCCTCCTCTAGAGGGGAAACCACTGTGCACCCAAAAATCAGTGATAAGGAAATACTGAACCTCTCAGCACTCAGGACTCAAATGCACACATGTGTGCACAAATGCCCTGACAGCGCGGGCCTTTTACCCAGGAATCACCACTGCAATTCTTCCACACACACACACACTGCATCAGTACACTCCTCTGAAATGAATATGCGCCACATCAACGCAGCCTGAGGCAGAGCACAGTCCCTGTAGTGCCAGTCTGGTGACAGTTGTCCTCATCACTTACTCGGACAACATCCAGCTCCTTGTTCCTCTGCATGAGCTGCTTTTCCAGTTCCACAATCTTGGACATGGCTTCATTCTCTGTGTCTTGCAACTTCTCAGATAGCTGTAAAATGGTTACAAGGGAGCCGTGTCACCAACAAGGACATTCTGATCAGGCCCTCAGTACTCAGCAAGTACAGCTCTAGGACTGTCAGGACCCATCCAAGTCCTGCATGAGCCCTGCAACCTGTTTACTGGAATGACAGTATTTATAAATATGGTTCTGAGTATATATTCAATATTAGCAGGGATCAATAATTTATAAGGCTACATTCGAACATTTCCTTAATGAAACCCACAAGTCAGCTCCTCAGTGTTTCAGCATACATATCATCTCCGTCCATTTCTTCAGGGACTAGTCAAGGTAGCAGGAGTGTGTGTTGGGAAAGGAAGTGTGTTTCCACAGCTGTCCAAGAAAGGGCTTTGAAAGTATTGACCGGGGAGTCACGTTGTGGCATAGTAGTTAAGCCTCCATCTGTAATGCCAACATCTCATATACCTGCTCTTTCATGTCCTGACTGCTCCACTTTCAATCCAGCTCCCTGTCAATGGTCTGGGAATTCACCTGAAGATGGTCCAAGTGCTACCACCCATGTGGGAGACTGGATGAAGCTCCTGGCTCTTGGTCCAGTGGTGGCCATTGCAGCCATCTGAGGAGTGAGTCTGTCTGTCTCTATGTGACTCTAGGCAGTTGGAAAAAAAATACACGACTGCTTGTTTCAAATCAAACTGATGAAATAATAAGTGCTATTTAGAGAGGCAGTTTAAATTAACAGATGGTCTGCTACAAAAGTAGATACAGAAATACAATCTTTCAGCAGCGGATGTCCTACACAGCTGTTAAACTTGGGACACCTGCATTCCTGATCCCAGTCTGCTTGGAGTCCTAGTTAATTTCTGGTTCCAGTTGCCTGCTGATTTACATCTTGAGAGATAACAGCTGATGACTCCAGTATCCTTGTCCGTGTTACTGATGTGGGAGATCCAGAATGAGTTCTAGGCTCCTGGACTGAGGCTGATTTAGCACCTGCTGTCACAGGCATCTGTGGAATGAACCAGCAGATGGAATATCCTGCCTTCTAGCCTCAAACTATTCAAAGTATTTTTAAAAAATAAAATTAGATATGTATGTTTTTAAAGTATGACCATGTAATATTGGCTGTGGCTTCAAAAGAGACACAGAATGGGTCAGGTTACATAACTGCTTTATGCCAAATGCTCTACAAATTGACAATTTGTGATTTTTACACCTCAATGAAAATAAGCGTAAGTAAAGGCAAGGTAAGGAGGACTTATGGCAATGTCTACTGACGAAGTTCAGAGTGCAACACTCCGAAAAGTTCTGAGCCCTAAGTTCTCCTGTGAAGTGGAAGCTGACTGGCTAACTGCAGCTTTTACAGAAGGTTCTTGGCTCACTCACTTGGTTAAACCACAAACCATGAATATGCCCACTTTCAGAGTGACAGGAAAAGGTGGAGGGCATTAAACACATGCAAGACTCTGGAGAAAGGAGGAGGAAAATATATGGACTGCTTCAAGGCAAAAATAACAAAAAAGGGACAGCTCAGTATACAATCAAGCAAAGTGTACATTCTATCTTATCCAAACAATTTGGTCTTGTTAATACTGGAATCTCTGAGAAACACCATTTTCCTGTTCCTTCTTGCAATACTGAACTCCCTGTTCAATGAATGCATGAGTGGACAATCTTTGAAGGGATGCAGATTAATACTCAACTTGGTCTGTAATAAGAAAAGTCCTTCAAAGGAACCTGAGCCCCTGTTGGTACAGAGTTGACATTGTACTGGGAGGACACTCTTCCTCCACAAAGAATACAGATATACTGGGGCCGGGGCTCAGGCATACAGAACTGCATTTAGGCTGATGCTTGGGATCCCATGTCCCTTACGAGAATGCCTGGTGTAGGACTCAGTTATGCCGCTTCTAACTCAACTTTCTGCTAACGTACACCCTAACAGACAGCAGATTATCACTCCACACTGGGGTTCCTGTCCTCTGATATGGAAGATCTGCGCTGAGCTTAGTGTTCCTAACTATTCTGGGTGTTTGGGGAGTGAACCAGTAGAAGCCAGCAGCTGGGGCTAAGCACTGAAATCAGGATCTGCAATGTGGAATTCAGGAATCTTAATTGGTGTCTTAAACAGCAGACCAAACACCTGCCCCTACTCAGAATTTGAATAGCCATCAGACAGGAATGTTTAGACTCACATCACAGAGTATCAGCTGATTCTGTCCATAGCCCTGTGTGAGCATTTTTTAAAAAGTGGCTCATATTCAGGAGACACTTCTTGGTCCCAAATCAAATTCCTGTATTATTTCCTCCACTCTGTTAGGTGATGCCAATCATCTAATCACGAGTCAGAACTGAGCAGGCAAGGCGCTGGACTTGGCTTTGTTTTACAGAACGTATTTGGTTTCTTTGAAAGAACCCAGAATGGCTTATGACAGCCCTTGCTCCCGGGGTACAGTTCATTCTGTACACTCCAACTCCTTTAACTTACTACCATAGATGCTTATCCCTAACTGCTTGTTCCTAGTGAAACATCAGCAGTCACTCCCCTTACATGAGAGATGTTCTCTTCAAGTTCTTCCACCCTCTCCAACGCTGCATTCTTGGTTTCAGCATCTTCCAGCAGAGCTCCTACATCAAACACATTGTCCAGGTAAGCCTGAATCTGCACCTGCAGCTTGTCACTCTCTGTATGTTTCAGCTTCTGCAAACCAGAACACAAAAGGAGACCGTGTTAGCTTTTCTGAGAACAGACCAAGAATCAACGTGCTCTGTTGGCCCCAAAAACTCAGCCTTTCCATGAGAAGGCTGAAGGATCACCTACCTTCAGAGCACTATGAAGTACCTGATTGAGGGAGTACCATCAGATTACTTTCTGGTGACTACCCCGCCCCCCCACTCATCTTCCTCCAAGCCCTTCCTGCTCCACAGAATTAGATCCTAACACAGAATATCTGGGTATAGGTGACATCAGAACAGAAAAACCTAAAAGTAGCTCCTGAAGGGAACAATGACAAGTAACATAAAATGTGGTGGTGGTGGTGGTATGTGTAATGGCAGACACTGCAGGGGGTTGTATCTTGCCTGGAGAGTGACAAGGCTTCCAGTGGGGCTCAAGGGTTAGGGGAAAGGTGGGGCAGACACAAGTTGAGTTTGTACTTTGCCTTGGGGCTTATTTTAGCAAACATTTAAACAGTGCCCATATTCCATGCTTTCTCTGCCAAGTTAGTATGATCAATGTGAACAGCTCAGGACTCCCATAGCACAGGTCAGAAAACTTTCCCAAAGTTACTACATCTAAGGTCAAGCATGAAGACAACACTCAGCTACTTTTAAGGTAATATTAGAGGTCTTATCAACCAGTGAATCTCCCCTATGTATTACACAGGTTATGGCTTTCCCTGGGAAACAGATGAACGGGGAGAACAGATTCTAGCACATGGGTGAGTCAATAAACAGTTATTGAACAAATCGATGATAACCTAAAAGGAAGTACTTAGATCATTACATATGTATTAAGACAGCTATTCCAACCGTGTTAGTCTTTCAGGAGTCAGAGTTAACACAACACAAAGCTAAGCAAACGCTAAGTTTTAGAAAACAAAAACAAACTTTAAATTTTGAAAACAAATGCCACACTATACAAATTCTCAGGAAAAATATATTTTATGTCTAACCCGAAATTCTAAAATTTAGCCTTTTTTTAAGAGTAGGTTTTATCTTAGTTTGAAAGTTAGAACCAAAATATTTTCCAGTCAAGGGCAGCATCTAAGAAAGATAATGGAATTTTATACAAAAGCTCAATGGAATTTTATACAAAACTCTTAATGACCCACAAGGGCTAAGGAGCCTAAAGCAATGTCTACTCAGACATCACAAAGCTGAACTCAGAACACCACTAGAAATCTATATTCCCAATGTTTGTTCAGATACTGCTACTCTCAGAGCATCAGGAAAGAGAATAACAAACTTTGATCTAAAAGCAAAAAAGAAAAAAATCAATCTAATATTCTCCCAATAACTTTAGTGAGTCTTTAAATTAACAAACTGCTCACACAGCTCTTAAGTGGAGGCCTATTCTGCTTGACCAACAGTTGAATCTTTATGCCACATTAGGCCTATCTACACAAAACGTAGCTCAGCTGGCCTGGTAAGCAAGAGTGTCAGGTAAGAATCATCAACTCTGCCATTCTGCTTCCCAAAAAACTCAGACTGAAATGCCCTGGCTTTCCCCTAATGATGACCAGCAGTGGAACTCTGGAGACACCAAGGTGAAGTATATCTATCAGTTTCATAGCTGGGAGCATGAAATGCTTAAAATGCAGACCTACAATTCTAGCCCTATTACTAGTAGTCTCTCAAATTCAACCAGAACACTCCTATCTCACAGGGAAAACAAAAATCTGCCTAGGAGTCAAGGGACAAATACATGGCCTGTGCACACACAGCTGCTCAAACTCATTTCTGACATTCATATCAACTTCCTGTTGGTTAACCTGAGAACTCCAGGGAACTGGCAGAGTAGTTCTACCAGGTAGCAAGAGAAAGACCAAATTTAAACCCCCTTCTCCCAGGAACCAAAGTGGAACTTCTGAAGCCACAAGCACTTTAAGGGGAATTTAACAGCTTCACGAGGAAGTCTCCAGTGCCCATTCCTCATTATTTTTTTATGTTCTAAGCATTTACTCATCATTCTGAAGCAGTTTGGGCTTGACCTTTCTTTGCCTATATGGGGTCCCCAGAGAAGCCAAGAATGCAAATTGCCCAACTGCCCTGATGAAGGATGCAATGAAACTTGCCCCAAACAGAGCTTAAACACAGAGGAAAGCCGCAGAAGGGCTGCAGGTGATCTGCCTCCTGTTCTCAAAGGCTGCAGACAAACGCTGGAGTGAGGTCCCAAGAGATTTGAAGGCATCTGGCTTCCCTGGCAGATCACATCCCTCAGATGAGCTGCTTTAACCAGGATGACAGCAGTTGCCTGCACACTCCTGTCTTTAGTTGTGATTTGGCCACAACGGAAGTTTACCTTGGAGGGTAGCCATAAGTCAATTCTTACACTGGAGACAAAGTTTACAGCCATACTCACATCCAAGTATTCATCCAGGCCTAATTTGGTAAATTCATACTGGAGGTGAACTCTGAAATTCATGTCTTCCACGGAATGAACTACAATATTAATAAACTGCATCGAGGCCACCTGAAACAAATTTACAAAGGGCTTAGATAGGCTTTAAACTTTTTATTTCTGTTTAAACATGGGCATACCTATTCCAATTCATACATTAAGGTTCATTTCTTGATTTCCTTCTTCTTCATTACATTGAGTCTTGAAAAATATTTTGTAATTTTTAAAGCTAGAAAAACTGCTAGGAGTCCCATAGCAAGGTACCTCTTCATTTCCAACAGCCTGGCTACAATAAAAAAAGAAATGTACTGACAAGTGTGGGCCAAGGGTGTGGAGGAAAGGAAATCCTCTTCCATGGCTGGAATATAAAACAGGGTAGCCACTTTGAGAGCTGGCCAATTTTTCAAAATATTAAACACTGAGTTACCATGCAGCCAGCAGTTCCCCTCTTAGCACATACCCAAAGAAGACAAAAACATATGTCCACATAAAAATCTACATATCTATGTTCAAAGCAGTATTATTCACAACAGTTTAAAGGTATAAAGAATTTCTATCAAGTGATGGATAAACAAAATGTGGTTCATTGATACAGTGGAAAATGATGCAATAAAAGAGAATTAAATACTGATTCACATTTTTTAAAAAAAGTAGGTAAACTTGAAAATATCTCAGATGGAAAAGTGAGATCCTCTACTGTCTGCATCCACTCATGAAATAGCAGAATAGGGCAAACTACAGGGCCAGAAAGTTTAGTGGTTGGAAGAATAAACGGGACATGACTGTTAGAGGGTACAAGGCTACTCTTGGGGTCATGGAATGCTCTAAATTAGACTGTGGTAATGCTAACACATACCTGTGGCTATACTAAACACACACTGAATTGTACACTTTAGATAGGTAAATTGCATGGCATGCTAGTTCTATCACACTACAGCTATTCTTAAAAAAGTCATATAGGTAAATGAACAAAGTGCACAAATTGTTACAGGCTTATTTAGTAAACTATGAAAATCATGACTAAGGAGAATATTTATATAGATCACCAACCATCTCACTACAAGGTTATATCTTTTCCAGATTCACTGTGTTTCTACCATACCCACATGGAGTACCCAATGTTGAATTCATCTTTGCATGCAGTAACCTCATTTACATTCCATCAAAGCTCTCCCCTGCAACTGCACCAATAGCCTGGATCTGCTGGAGAGAATACCTATCCGTAAGTAGGTAAATAACACAAGAGGTCAATAGACCTATTTGTCTTTTGATAGGAACTGTCAGTTTGCCCAGCTTGAAAGGATCTTACTCAGTCTTTCTTCATGGATGTGAGCTAAGAGAGCCTCTGGTAAGGAAAAAAAAAAAAGACTGACAGATTCCACTTCATACTGGCCCTGAAGACAACCTACTTATGCTTCTCTTTCCAAAACCCAATTTCCTTTACTTCAAAAACTACTTCCATCAGAGCCAGCATTGTGACATAGTATATAAGGCTGCTGCCTACAGCAGCAGTACCTCATGTGGAGCTAGTTCATGTCCCTCAGCTGCTCCACTTCCAACCCAGCTCACTGCTAGTGGTCTAGGAGAAAGGCAAAACTGACTAAGCTGTGGAGAATACAGCCAGCCAATTCTACAAACCAAACTGTCTTTAAGTCTTCGATAATATTGTCTGCAGAAGCCCCTGGACCACAAAAAGTAGAAAAAAATTCATATGGTTAAAATCTTTTTTAACATCATGATTTTGCTCTAGATACGTCAGTAGCTGAAGCTTGCAAGCAATTTTCAGTGTCAAATATGTGGCTTCCCCAATTAATTTGCTATAAATAATCAGAACGTTTAAGACCTCCTTTTGTATATAATGGATAGAGCAAGAAATAACTGCGACAAAGGGTAAAGAAAGATGAAGAGGGGCATTCAAGATGCAATTTACAGCACATTAAACTCAATTTCCTGTCCTTTGTAACACACACATACACATGAGTAGAGGTAGGAAAGAAGTGTTGAAATGAAGTTTGCTTTTTTGAATGAGGTCCTAAAATAACTCACCATAAAATCTATGTTATTGTCTTCATTCCTGAAATGTTCCATCAATTTCTCAAAGCGCTGTTTCTCTCCACAAACCTGAAACACACATTTTTGATGAGCATGTGACATTCCACACATAAACATTCCAAAATTAGATGCAGAAATTTCAACATTAATAATTATTTCCAGATTATCTCTTGTTTTCTTGTCTCATACACTATTTATTTCTGTTCTAAGCTAGTGAGCCCACAGTCACATGAACTGGCCCAAAAGTTGATTCTTGGTTCCTCTGAATCTTCTCTTGATATTTTGAAATGCATTTTTTTTTTAGCAAGTGTTCAAAATCTAAAAATGTAACTCACAATTTAAAAAGATGAACACATTTTCTTTTTCAAAAGTGCTACTGGGCCCAGCGTGATGGCCTAGTGGCTAAATTCTCGCTTGCATGTGCTGGGATCCCACTTAGGTACTGGTTTGTGTCCTGGCTGCTCCACTTCCCATCCAGCCAGCTCCCTGACTGTGGCCTGGGAAAGCAGCTGAGGATGGCCCAAAACCTTTGAACCCTGTGTCTCTGTGGAAGACCTAGAAGAAACTCCTGGCTCCTGGCTTTGGATCAAACAGCTATGACCATGTGGCCTCTTGGGAGGGAACCAGCAGATGGAAGATATTTCTGTCTTTCCTCTCTGTAAATCTGCCTTTCCAATAAAAATAAATAAATAAATAAATCTTTAAAAAAAAAAGTACCACTAAGTCATACTTACTAAAATATCTGGATAATTATTACTCCATTTACACTTACTAGACAAATTCAAAATGGTTATAATAGATTTACCTGAATCAAATAATTTCAATGCATAAACCGCAATACAGAAGTATACAGCATAGGTTAACCTACTAAACCTGAATACATAAATTTGCAGTACTTTTTGTAATAGCATCCTAGAACCCTGAAAAAACATCCATTTTAAATTAATATTTTCATTGAAATGTAAAGGGGCTGACACAGTGGTGTAGCGGGCCAATCTTCTGCCTTGTGTTGTCAGCACCCCTGTTCCAGCTCCTTGCTTATGACTTGGGTAAGCAGTGGAGGATGGTCCAAGTCTTAGGAACCCTACACCCTCATAAGAGACCTAGAAGATATTCTGCCTATCAGCACTGATCAGCTCAGCTCTGGTTGTTGCAGCCATTTGGAGAGTGAACCAGCGGATGGAAACTTCCTCTCTGTAAAATCTTTCTTTCAAATAAAAATAAATAAATCTTTAAAAAAAGAAAAGTAGAACAAACAGATAAAATACTGAGAACTCCAGGCTCCCCCACCCCAGTACTTGTGTACAAGTGGGATTAAAGACATGAAATTAAAAATAGACTCAATGATTTTTTTTTTACACCAAATTATAACTCTCTGGAGACTTATTCCAAAAATTAAAGGATAAACTTTAATTTGGTCAATGCCCATGGCTACCATTTTTGAAGCAAAGTATTATTACCACTGATTTATTTATTCTACCTTCAGGAATATTTGCTTGAATTACTCACAATGCTGTAGCGTAACTTCTCTGATTCCATGAGTGATCTTAGAAATACATCAACCCTCAAGAATTCTCCCAGAATAAATTTCCTAATGTTGTAATGCAGCCATTTAATAGTATGTTAAGTTCCATGTGAACACACACACACAGAGTCCCATGAAGACAGGAACTCCTATTTCCTTCCTCAGACTTTAGATCGATGCTTAGTGTGTTGTAAATTATCAGTAATATTAGTTGAATTGCACAGCTTAGAGGACAAGAGTAACTATGTTAAAATATATTTTTCAAAAGGATTAACACCTTATGAATATTCTCCTTATTTTACAGTAAAACAGGAACCATAAAGCCACTGTGAGCAAGCACTAGGAATAGAGTGGCAGCAGCTCTGAGCCTAGGAAGTTAAGGACCTTCTAATCTTACAACTCTTCAACAGTTCCAACAGATTAAGACCACAGACGATGCTGATGGTCACCCTCCATCAATCTATACACACTTTACCAGAAAATTTCAGAAGGCAGAAAGCCATCCAAGAGGAAGGAAGGAAGTTCTGAAGAGGAGAGTGTAAAGCAAAGCCCTTAAGAAACACACTTGTCCAATCCACCTTAGAAAAACTAATTCCATAGGGTGACACTGGGATGACATGAGCAGGTTCTACTTGAAAGACATTATGGGGTCAGCATGGAGAAACGGGTTAAGCTGCTTTGTGGGATGTGTGCATTTCAGATCAGAGCACTGGTTCCAGTCCTAGCTACTCTGCTTCAACTCCAACTTTCTGCAAATGCACATCCTGGGAGGCAGCCGATAAAGCAACATACTTGGGTTCCTGCCACCCACTTGGGAGACCTAGATGAAGTTCATGGTTGCTGGTTTTGGTCTGGTCCAGACTTAACTGTTGCAGACATCTGGGGAGTACTGGGGAATAAACCAATGGATGAAAGATCTTTCTCTTTTTCTCTTTCATTTACACTTCCCCTTAAAAACACTCTCCTTAAAAATACTACAGTCTGGGGCCAGTATGGTTGCAAGCATTCCATGTGTGTGCTGAACTGAGTTCTGGCTGCTCCACTTGCAATCCAGCACTCTGTGACCTAGGACAGCAGCGGAGCATGGATCAGGTTCTTGGGACCATGCACCTACATGGGAGACTTGGGGAAGGGAGGCTCCTAGCTCCCAGCTTCAGATCAATTCGGTTCACTAGAGCCATTTGGGGAGTGAGCCAGTGAATAGAAGCACTCTTTCTTTCTCTCTATAAAATCCACCTTTCAAATAAATAAATCTTCAAAAGTACAAAAATAATAAAATCATCACAGAGCACTGCTGTGCTACACAAAGGCCAAGAGCAGAGATTCAAGAGTATTCTATGTTCTCCTCCTGCTCACAGCGGGCCCTTCCAAAGATGTGAAGCAAATTCTAGCCAATGAATTTTTTTTTTTTTGAGAGGGTGAGGCAGTCTAGGCCCAGCTCCCTAGACTGTGAGGTGAGATAAGACACACCGTGTGCTGACAGGAGAATCTCAATGAGAAAACCTGCCAAGGCTTGACATGGAAAGGATCCAAAGAACAGCTGGAATTTTCTTGAGTCAGCAGACTTCCTTTCCACACCTGTTCTGTAAGCACCTGTTTTCCAGGAGTATATCTTGTTTCAGTCTTTTTTTTTTTACTGTTAGGATTTATGTTTTTATTGGGAAGGCAAATTTACAGTGAGGAGACACAGAGAAAAAAGATCTTCCATTTGATGTTTCACTCCACAAATGTTGACAATGGCAGAACTGAACTGACCTGAACCCAGGAACCAGGAATTTCTTCAGGGTCTCCCACAGAGGTGCAGGGTCCCAAGGCTTTGGGGTCATCCTCTACTGCTTTCCCAGGCCATGGGCAGAGAGCTGGATCAGAAACAGAATAGCTGGGACATGAGCCAGCATCATATAGGATATCAGGGTTGCAAGTGGAAGATTATTCAGTTGAGCTGTTGTGTTACCCCTTGCTTCAGTCTTGTCTGGGGAAGTTGGCAGTGGCAAAGGAGGAGAAGAGACCCTCTTGAATCTGGGGACAGCCACATGTTACTCTGTGACTAAAGTGAGCCCTAGGTACTTGCTGAACCAGAAGAAGTACACTTGTTCTTGTTCTTAGCCAAAGGGCTGGGAAGCAATGAACCAAAAGAAGCAAAGGCTGCTGAAAAGTGATGATGGACAGAGGCCCCTAGGAAGATGAAGCTAAGCATCTGATGCCCTTAACTTACAACTGAGATTGACACTCCAACAGATCATACTCCCAAACTAGACACATAGTCAACAGAACAGCACAGCCCACGCTAAAATCATGTCCTTACTAGCCAGCCGGCTGTCCACCCTCACATAACCCAGAATGCTCAACTATATCCCTCTATAGGCTGCAGTGAAACTGTTCCAGGATTAGCTGAGATACCAAAGATGAAAAAAAGCATTATTACAAATTAAAATAATGATCTTACACTCACATCACATCTGTGAACCACAATCTTCCATGTAACTTCTTCAAACAGCATATTCCTGGGGTCAATGCAGAGTGAGAATAATCTAAACAGAACTAGGAATTTGTGCTTTTAACAAATATTCCATGTAGGGTGAGCATGAGGCTAAGCAGTGAGGTTTCTGTTTTGGAACCCTGTATTCTCTATCTGAGTACCGTGGGTTCCAGTAGTGGCTCTGTTCTCAATTACAACTTCCTGTTAATATACCCCAGACAGTGAGTGACACTGCAAGTCCTTGCGATTCTACCACCCATAGAGAAGACCTGGATGGGGTTCCAGGCTCCTGGCTTCAGCCTGGTCCAATACAGGATGTTGGGACATTTGTGAAGTAAACTGATGGATGAAAGATCTCAATCTCTCTCTGACTTTCAAAATATACAAAACTTGTGGTTTTGAACCAACATGGGAAACCCATAAACTATACAAGATTGAAGGTTAAACCTTCAGCTTTTTCTACCAGTTGTAAACCAAAAAGCCACAGCATTAATTGTTCAACTCATTAAGAGTCCAACTGAGCAACAGAAATAAGCAAGCATGAATCACTATAGCTGGAAACTAAGACTGCTGCAGGAAATGGCCCACTGCCCTTGCACAAGAACAGATAACAAGGTAACTCACAAACAAGCAGTAATAGCAGCCAGGGTCTTAGAGAAAATTGATTTTACTTGAGGGGCCTTCGAGTAGTTCATCGAAAAATGGGATTAAAACATAGGACCATTTTGGTGCAAGCCATTTTTTTTAAATTCACGTTTTCTTTTTTTCATAGCATGCATTTTTTTGTGAACTTTCTGAAGATCTTCACATGACTATGCAAGGCACATGCAGATGATAACAAAACAAACGCTCACAGCCTGATACTAAAAAGAGCTGGCCTCAAATTCACTATAGACAACACTAGATTAGTCCCAGAAAACCTGTTATAACCCTCATAGACAGGACTGAAATAGACATTAAGAGCAACTCTGAATATATGCATTTTTTTTAGCAATCCTTCATTCTGTCAACAGACAAATCTATGCTGGCAATGTGTTATGAAAAAGAAACCCTTTTCATTTTCAA